AAATTTTCATGTAAATTTTGTTGTCTTTCAATTCATGTGTTCACTTTGTGAGCACGGCATGCTAGACCGGTGCTCTCTAGGACTTTCACTACTAACAATACGTAAGTGTAATTGTGTAGGAACGATGTCGGTCAGCATACGTGTTAAATTATAAGTATTTCAGTTAGCTAACGTGCATACGTATCATAGTCATATACAAGTCTTTAGGGACAATAGTAGGCATAACTTAGGCACTGCATTCGAGTCCCAGTTCTTATACGGTTACGTGTATTCGAAAGTATTGCATTACTAATGTTTCACTTAAAGCGTGATGTCAATCCATATGACTAAGGCTGTTGACATGTAGCGTAAATTAAAGTCTACACCAGACGAATTATTGAATTCGTTGAGCTTTAACAATCGTATTTAGATTTAGCTTACACTAAAATATGCCACCAATTACTTCGTCAGTTCTTATTAATAAGTCATGTCTGCACCTAGTCATCATGACAAATATATCTACACTCAGATATAATAAGAAAGGTCTGGTAAGCAGGATATTAAATGTATTTAATGAAAAAATAATAACAAGCAAATGTCTTTACGCAGTCGATTGTCGGAATAATTTGTGCAATGTCGAATCTCTGTGACTGGGGTGATTGACGTTACCAGATATCTACAAATAAGTAAACAAAGTGTTTTTTAAATAGCTGAAGTAAGGAAGAAGTAATATTAAAGGTAAACGATTTATATCTGCCTACCTTTGCTGAAAATGGTTTATTCTCCTTTCTCATTCTTTGGTAATGACATCATTCTTCTGGGGTTTTCACTGCCACACACATTATTCCTCTTCTAAAGGATAGCAGCAAGCATATAGTAATAATTTCAAATTTCGTATAAACCAATGTTTACAAAGAATGCATGTCATTTCTACAGGCGCAATAAGTTATGTTATAAACTGCAATCGTGAAGTATCATAAATTATAAGAGTTAAATTGTGAACCCTTAACAATGAACACCGTACATTTGGTTAAGTACTATGTCCTTGGAATGTGAGTATACATTTGCAATGTTTAATGCCAACCATATTGGTGTAAACATAGAAAATATGACGTTTTCCATGAAAATACAGCTTTGTTCCAACACTGGTGTTGTTGTGTTTCTAATAAAAGCAAATAGACTGTAAGCAAGCAACTAATAGGCACAAAGAGTAAGTCTCAGCTTTAATAAAGGCATATCCAGTTAACATAAAATGAAGTGTAATAGTGCACAAATGAAAAGACCATAGTGAAGTAGATAAGTGATATTTCAGTGAGAGGTAAATTGAACTATCTGCAACCTTACAATTTGGAAGACAACCTGACATGTAAGATCTCTCACAAATTTCTATAGAGCCTGTGGGGTGCCATGGATGGTTTGGCGTCAATCGCAGCTTTGAAAGGATGACTTACAAATGCAAAAGGTAACAACCAACGAAACTGCAGTAGTATTTTCTAGCTGTTCAGCATTTTTTCCTTTGATGCAGTTTCTTATCAACAGTTTGCAGTATTCAGAACATCACAAGTTGCTTACAGATAACTTGTTTAATAATAACTGCTTTAAATATATCAGCCATAAGTGCATCTTCTACATATTTCATAGCCACAATTAAGTCATTAAGGATCTCAGATTATCTTAGTGATGTGAAGCAAAATAATTTTTAAGATTGATATAACCTATGTAACAGGTGTAGTAGTTGTACGACACAGCCGCTAGCTACTAATCGACAGAAATCTGGTACTAATTTTAAGTACTCTGACATTTGAGAAGGACTATTTATACTATTCTTCCAGACACAATGAACACTGATGTCAATATACTCTGATGCCATTTCATGCACTGAGCAATGAAGGCCTTGTGAAATTTCATGTGTAAATGTCAATTAAACTATTTTTACATCTTCGCCCAAGCACTTTTAACTAGGAACTTCATCAAAATAGATATAATCAACAGGAAATTCAGCAGCCTGTCTCATTCATCGCATAATGTCATCGATGTGTTATGGAATATTTCAGTCATCCCGGATGATAACAGAAAAGTTTAACATGTTCAAAGCACACATCTAACCTATGCCTGCATGCTATTTATCTTTCATAGGCCAGATTCTAATAGATTCACTGGAATGACAACAGCCATTGACTGCAGTATATTTACAACCTTAAGATCTGAAACAACTCGCAAAAAAACAAACCCTCAACGCACTATAATGCAAATAATAGTCTTTCTATGCGAACTTTCTTAAAAAGGATGACTTCTTCATTGATAATTCGTCCGAGCTATAATATACAATTTTACGCTCTACTAAGAACAAAATACAGCAAAATACTGCCATCCGGCTACAGAAGTCTAAAACTAGTCAAATATAATCTATTTCCAAAAAAATAGGTGATTATAACGTCTGTTGACGTGAGCGCGGTAACCGATGGCATTGCGCGATAACACCTGGTGTCGGCCTATATCCTCACTCCATCTTTCATCTATCTGTTCATAACTTTGTGCGTGTCCGGACGTCTTCCACTCGTATCATCAACCTGAAAAGGAATGTAGGCGTACTGCTGTAAGTCCTACAATTCTTCAGGCGCAGCTCGTCAGGCCAGAATCCACAACATTTGATGTATTGACTGTAAACATGTTAGTGTTTAATAATTGAGTGTGTTCCAATTATTGTAATTGTTGGTTAATCTTGTTTGTGTCCGGACATTCCACAACTTAAAATCGTCAACCTGAGAAGGGTTTCAGGCGTACTGGTGTAAATCCTGCGATTCTTTAAAGGAATTACATCAAGACATGATATGTGAGGTTATGTGTACTGTTTGTGTATATGTGGTGTGCCATATCAATTGGTGTTTTTCGATTCACTGTGTTCACTTGTTGTTGTCGTACCTTTTTGTTATTACATAATTTTGTTAAATTGTTCGTCTTGCTTACCTCTGAAGTCGTTTCGAGTCCTCAACATCCGTGAATGAATTGATTGATGTTAAAGACAGGGGATGGGTCGTATACGCCCGGGAGGCTAGTGCTGAGAATGACATCCACCTGGAGATAAGGATCAGCTGTGGAATCAATAACTGAGAATGAATGTTTCTACTTAGGCTGTGGTTCCACACGCCGGGGAGCGAGAGTGTAGACGACTGAGGCTTGCATACGTCACTGTTACTAGAACTGAGGCAGAATGAGTGACAAGTGATCTCAGTGGTAATTGGTAGTGAATAGATAAGAGGGTGTGTGCGCAGTATCATGAGTTGGTGCTATGGTCACGTTGCTTTCTGCAAGAGTCATTCTAGTAAGTGGCGATTGTGTTACAAGATGTCGAGAGGATGCCTTTAACTGGAAGGCGCAGGTCGTCACCGATGAGTGACTGGTGAATTTGTTTCTTCCTCAAGCTTCTCACCAGCTGTAGATCACCCCCAATACACTAGTGGGCTTACAAACGCATGGCGTTCAGTTAAACCTGTTCCTCTTCGTCCGCAGTCTATTGATGTCTTTGTTCACCCGTGTTTAAAAACTTCTTCACACGTATTTGTTCGTCGTGACTCTGTGAGTCGACCTCTCAAACCCCCATACGATGGACCATATAAAGTCATTGAACGTACGGATAAATTCTTTGTCTTAGACAAAAAAGGCCGCGAAGACACCGTTAACATCGACCGTCTCAAACCACCTTATTTGGAAGGAAATCCTGTTGGCCTAGACCTGAGCGTACCCGATAATCCAAAAGTAGTCGAATATCCTTTAGTCCTCGAAGAACTCCCTAGCACGGCGAAAGCCACCAAACCTTCTGTCCAGCCCTCTTAGTAAACGCGTTCTGGACGTAACTTGGTATTAATTATTTTGTTTTCAGACAATTTTTTTTGATATAGCATCACTAAGCACAAGTAAATCAATTTTTCTATAACTGTATAGTTTTCATGCACTAAATATTTCGATGTATACTTTTTTGATGTCCTAAACCTCGCATTATATCACTGTATGCTAGATGGACATAATTTTTTTAAAAGGATTCCGATTTGGTACATTTTCCTCAAAAAGGTTCTTAGCGTTCCTGTTTTCTTTTCCGAGTGCGAAGGACAATGGACAAGAAACAAACGAAGCACGGGATCCAACGAACTACATCAAGGAAGCGATGTACAAACACCCTATAAGCATAGGCAGACAGACATTAGGCAGTCCACCGAGCCTCTCGGAAGATTTTTTTCGTCCAAATGGGAACCATAGAGTTTTTTACTTCCGGCTGATTTCGTCTTAGGGTCCTCACAGCCCAATAGCGGGGGGAGTGAGCTGTATCGGCAAATAATCCCCTAGAATTATCGACCGAAGCATTCATCAGTGAATATTGGATGCTAACCCTCACTGTTCAAGTCAACTTGTTTAGATGAAGGCTTCCGGTCAAGCATTCACGCCATTTGGTACTCCGTTATGTCACGTTTGTTCGTTCGTGCACGATCTTTAGCTAGCTAAGCAGTCACCTCGCACTCCGATTCGGTCCCTAAGTTTAAATCATAATTTGGACAGTCAATTCTGGTATTATTCTTTGCTTTCGGTCTACGCGGAACGAATACTATAGAAGTTGTGGGTATTGCATCTTGCGTTAGTATACTTCACACTATCTGTGAACGTCAATGCCTTCAGGCTTTAAAATATCACTATAGTTTCCTACCATTATAAATAAATTATTACCGATATATTTGAGCCTCGTTGATTCAAGTTAAATTAACTTGTATGTGAACAATTTTAATCAGCACAGTATGCTGCTTCTTGTCAGCCAAAGGTCGATTATTCCAAAAACCTGTATTACATATTCACGCATGTGGTTTAAGAAAAGTCAAAATATCAAAGGCGATCTTTTCAAGTATTTTAAATTGAATGAGTTGTTTAAATCACTCAAAGGTTGTTAAGATAACGGCTTTAGGTTACCCCACTGATACGGATTATTACCACTCCCGGCGAGACACAAGTCTTCTCTTTAACTTTTCTTACATAAGATGCTGGCTCTCCGTAATCAGATAAAAAGGATTGGATTCAGGTAGTGCTTGTTACTCAGTCTTCGCCTATCATCTTTTCATTTCTAAGGTGTTTGTCAGGTTGGTCAGAAGGAGTCCGTAGTCAGACTAAACTTTCCGAAAGCGTTTATTCCCGGGAAGAAAAACATGGGGCTCACAATTACCACCCTTTACCAGTAGCTCTGTCTAGGGGCAAAGGTATACATAAATAGCGGTATATTATTTTTCTAGGTGTTTACGTATGGGATGTTGATGGGAACTGCTATATTGATTTTTTGAGCGCTTATAGCGCAGTAAACCAAGGGCATTGTCACCCACGTATTATCGACACTCTGAAAGCTCAGGCAGAGCTGTTAACCTTGACTTCACGTGCTTTTTATAACTCTGCCTTGGGAGAATACGAGGAAATGGTTACCAAAATGTTCGGATACGACAAGGTTTTGCCTATGAATACCGGTAAGATTCTACATGTTACTATGATTTATTGATTGCTGGGAATTCAATATATGATGTAAGAAACATTTTGGCGGGGTTAAAGTATATTACTCAAAGTCAAGCTCTTCCTAAAGTTGACCTCTATGAACCAATATTGCACAAGGAATGCTATGAAATAACACTCGAAATCATATCGCGTCTGTCTTTTTGAACTTATAGAGGGAAGATACAGTGTTCTACTTATTTATTAGGCAATTTCTGCAAATCTATTACTTTTTAGATTAAGGTTTAGGTTATAGGGTTAAGTTTGGGATTAGGGTTAGATAAGGATTATGTTGAAAAATAGTGTCAGGAATATCAATGGATCTCTAAATACCATGATCTACTGTCACCTGGATGGATGGGTATTATGTGCATCGTATGGCTTCTCTATAGTTCATTTGTGTAGTGACAGGGAGAAATTCTTACAAGACATAAGCTACAACTTTTCAGTGTAAAATCATGCTTGAAATAGAGTGTTTTTAAGTGATTATTCTACCTTTCTGCACCTGAACTCTGACTGGTTGCTCCGGGTCACCGTGGTTTTTGCCATGATAGATTAACTTTTACAAGCTTTTGTGTATTGATGAATGCAGATGGTATTAATAATCAACCTTTGGCTTACGAATAAATTAACGTTGAATAACAAAATTATGCAGCCAGCAACTGTGTACAGGGAGTGCATTTCATCAATTTCCGACTTAGTTTGACCCATGAAGATAGGGATTATCCCTTTAGCTTGGGTTGTCAGTTCTAACCAATATATGCACAAATAGATAACTCCAAATAACAAAGTGGTGAGGACTGATGACAGCGACACTACCAATTCCTTTCCCTGAGTATAAATTAGGACAAGGATGTATTACTTTTTCGATGCCCTTATTGTGATCAGCATTAAAATTAGATATAGTGACAATTTCGGAGGTCAGTTTTGGGCTGCTACTCGTTCACTTTATTGGGAACTCTTTATGTCACCTTTTGAAATTCGTATTATCATAAAGATGTTGGGTTATATTTCCATAGTGATGTAAATACCAAAATATAGTGTACTTCTCACAATTCCAAGCAATAGTGCGCATTCGTTTCCTGTGAATTACACTTTAAATCTATTAACTGTTATTCTACCGAAAACGTAAACTTAGCTTAAATTCAGTTAAAATGTCATCAGATGCACATACCTAATTAAATCACTATTCTCCTGCAGATGTTGTAAATGTTCTGTCAGTTACACTCCAAAACTACTTCTTTGTTTAGTTTTTCAACGGCGACTGTTTCAGAGGGAGGTATGAGATGCTTTGTTTTACTACCAAGGTCTCAATGTAAAAGGTGAGATAAAAATAAATTCCATAATGAGGGAAATCAGTGTAGCATCTGCGTTTAAAATAAACAGAAATATCATTTGTTTGCATCAGATACTTATTTCAGATCGTCTTTATGAGGCCTAAGTTTTTTGTTTTACAAAAGGTTTGGCTTCTGCTTCATTGATTTGTTTGATATATGGAAACTGACATGCTAAATGAACGTTTTAACGGTGTAAATATTACTTTTTTATTGACCTTATCGAATATCACGTTTTCCCGAGAAATCTGTCTACCTGTTGAACCGCATATCGTTGTTTGGTGTAGTAAAACACTCACAATCATCAGACTAAGCCATAAATTGTCTGATTCGAGGTATTGTAGTCATAGGTAAGAAGCACACCTGATTTAAAATTACCAGAAAACCACTGTATTCAGTAGATCGCTAACCGCCAGAATACAGACAGTCTTCTTTCTCTATACGTTAACTTTCTCTTACATCAGCCTAAAACGAAGCCATATTATTTACTTTATTTTCTTATTATAGCTTAATTCCACACAGTACGTTTTGTACAGCTGTGGAATTTTCAGCACATGATGTCGGTAGCCAAAATTCTGCAGACTGACTATTGATATCAGGTGTGCGTAGAACAGGGATCGAAGCCTAGACCATGTACATGGTCGGCTAGCGTCCTAACCGTTGTGCCACCAACGCACAACTGTAGTGGTTACTTAGGGCGTTTTGAAATCTTTTTCTCAGATCGAATCGGCAAAATTGGTTTCATTTATTACGTAAGACAAACTGAAAAAAAAAACAAATTCCATGTACTGAAATTCAGTGACCTATACCAAAGACGTACGTTACATTTCAAAACGTTTTTAAGCAAAAGTTTGTAAAACTACATGTTATCTTCAGAGTTACACTCAGTCACACAACATTCAGTCAAAATCAAATTAGTAGCCAAGATTTTGTTCGAAATAGAATCTAGGCGGAAAGGACTTCGAATAATTCTATTTCGTATTTATTTTTTTTAAAACACAGACGAATATGACCTTAAATAAATCAAATATGTAAACACTAATAAACAGCAAATAGCTTGTTTTCTATCATTTATCAGGTGTTGAAGCCGGTGAGACTGCACTGAAGCTTGCACGAAAGTGGGCTTACAAAGTAAAGAAAATTCCTGATGGACAGGCAAGAACAATATTTGCTGAGGGGAATTTCTGGGGCCGCACTCTGGCTGCATGCTCTTCGTCAACTGACCCCAGCTGTTATTCAGGATATGGACCATTCATGCCAGGTTTCGTAACTATCCCTTACGATGATTTGAATGCACTAGAAGTAAGTAGTCGTAATCAGTGTGATATGTAATGAGGGGTATATTGGAAGATTTTAAGGTGTTCTCATTATTTCACATTTCATATGCATTTATATATATACATTTATTCTCCGTTGTGTGATTTTATGTTAATGTGGACGCCAAGACTCGTTCTTCACGTGGTGTGACCTGCATTATGGAGGAAAGCGTTCTCAAGATCTTTTTGATATTTTATGCCTTTAACAATTGGCTATGTGGGATATTTGAACTTTTTAAAGAGTGGTTTTCCTTATACTGAACTTCTAATGATTACCTTTTATTTCTAAACTGGAGCTAGTTTGAGGGTAAAAACTTCCAAACATATAATAAATGTAATAAACACTTAGTAATTAACTGTCGAGCACTTATGATGTAGACTTTAGAAGAAGAGGTATAATACTTACGACCATCTATCGAGTTTTGCTAGCAAAGTAGTAATGACAGAACACAGTGGTAATCAGCAGCAAAAGTGTCTTTCCGTCAAAATGACATACACTGACGGAGAAATATGAAAACCTCAAACTGAGAATTCAATATGCAAAAGTTATTCGTATTCTGCTTCGGTTTTTTATTCTTCGGTTCATACTTCCTATTTTGTCACATTATGGCCTCTATCTCCTCTCTTTCTAAGTTAATCTGTCACTCCGCTATTCACTATTCTTTAAGAAGGCGTCACCAATGTACCATTTACGAATTCTTGCCAGCATACACCATACCACCAGCATTTAAACAAAAGACGTGGCTCATCGTCTAGAGCATCAATGTATATATATATATATATATATATATATATATATATATATATATATAGTTAAAATTTCACTCTTTGGTGGTAGATACATAAATTAATGTTTAGTAAACTAACTTCATAAAGTATAACACGAACTTTGATAAGTGCTGCGCTTAAATGTCTTAGTCATAAGCATAATTCAGCATATACTCTACCTTTTTCACTAATACCATTCTTTTTGCGGTTTTTAAAATGTCTTACGTATTCGCAATGTATCTGACCGAAATTGTTTTACGAAGGAAAGAAACAACACCCCATATTTCACAGGCTTAGGCAATATTATTAGTTTTGGGCAATGTGAAGAGTAAAATAAGTACACTTTCATTTGCTACCACGTGATCAATAAAAAACAATATTTGAAAATAGTATTAAATTATTCAGATTAAACTCTTAAAATAATTGCAGCCATTTTTGTTCCAGTATTTAGCAGAGAAAATAAATCTTCTGAAGATAACTGCAAAGTAACCACCATTAATAATACAGTGTCTACAGTCCCTAACTTTTGGTTGGGACTTAGAAATCACGAATCGGTGGAAACCTAGGTTTCTCATTTGATCACACAAACAAAGGATTTTTATGACGATTTCTTTCACTAAAGCGGTTGGGCGTTAGGTTCACTTCTGTGGTTTAAGTTTTTGTACTTTAATACGATCGGATTTATTGAGTAATGAGATATCCTGCAAGGTGTCATTCGTCAAAAATGTCAACTCTATAACCTTTTGTTCAACTTTTATCTTCTTATCTCACACCACAGTAACATGACTTCTTAAGGGAGATTTCTGAGTTTTATTGAGATACTCAGTCTAAGTAATTCTGTAAGACGGCGACCCTGACAAGATCCAGAAGTCTTTCGCACACTGAGAAGTGTAAACTGTTACCTGTTAATCGACTAAAGATTATGATTTAGTGAATGACACTGTTGGTTTCGTCTGACCAATGTGTTGGTTGATGAATTCATAGTATGGATACGATAAGTTCCTCAACTTCATCCTCTATCTTACATATGGGTGGAGCATACTACTAAAAAGTTTTCTTTGTCACAGACATTTGAAGTGGAATACGCCTGACGACTTTTGATACTTGATCAACGTCATTTGCGTGTCACTGCTGACATGTTATATGGATAGATTATTAAAAGAAATTACGAATCTTGGTCACCTGAAATGGACCAACTATGTGTACTCATGCTCACTCACTGTCTAACGAGACATTCTGTGTTAAATGAAACTCAATTAAGCTGAAACAAACTAAAGAATGATCAAACCAGGGTAGTGTAACATTACTTGAAATCTTCAGGTGTTGTTCTGAGCTGTATAGAGGAAGAAATGTCACTTGGTTGAAGCCGAATCGAAACACATGTACCTTCAGTAAGAAGTTCTAGATAACTGGGTCCCAGAGGTCTAAATAGACTTATAGCCTATGATAACCCTAAAAGTAAGAGTGTATTCCTTCATTTACTTTATCTTCTTTCCTCTTTTTCGTAAGACACTCTGCTACCATTAATTCGTATCATCCTCACTTTTGACTACATTTGATTCTTTTCTACCTGTTAAAAATATATGAGATATCGCAGTTTTAATTACTATTCAATAATGCTTCGGCGCTCTCTGTTTATAGTAATTGAATTAGGTATCCATTAACACAAATTGTAATCCTCAGTGACCGGTTTTAATGCAGAGTTTTGTTAGTGTTTTTTTAAAAAAATCTCTTATGATTAAGATCTGTGTGATATCTGATTACTGATATCTTACATATTATAATGTCTGTGTATTCGAAAGAAAAAGCCATTTACCAGAATAAAGAGTGAAGGCATCTAAGGCGTGTAGTTTGATAATAACTTTCTTAGTTTATATATGTCCAAACCAAGTCCACTTCTAACGGTTTGGAAAAATTTGGGCATTGGGTATATGATATTCATTATAATGGAGGTTTTTGTATTTCCCAATGAATGAAAACAAAAAAAATACGACCCAGACTGACGAACGATGATCAAGTATTTTACAACCTACACTTAGTTTGGTTACCTTCACCTTTTCTCCAACTTGACAACCTAAATGATCCCAGACTAACGAATGATGATCTAGTTAGTAAACTTTATTTTGATATAATAACAGATATATTATTACCTTTGATATTTGGTTTGAACGATCTTCATTGTTATTTTGACTTTCAATATGTCCTTTTAAGTTGAACTAAGTCTATATTTTTCTCACCCCTTAACTCTCTGTTATATATATGCTGAGATTTTGTAAACTCCGGTTTAATAATTCTTTGAGAAAGCTATTAGCATTAAATAGCGAAACGTCAGTAAAAACTATCTCGTTTTGTTTTTCATTCATTGGGAAATACAAAAACCTCTATTATAACTTTCTTAGTTCTTTGGTAAATGGATTTACCACGATAAAAGTAAACACTTTTTATCCGTTGTTCACTTTCTTATTCACAAGTCAGGCTTCAATCATGCAAAAACTGAATGCTTTTAATTACATAAGTGTAAGATACATCTCTGTCAAAGTTAGCATGAGTATGAATGTTTTTTTTTATGTCACCAATTATGATGACACTAAATCATTTTGTCAAACTTTGACCCTTTGTGTGATTATATTTATTACATCATACACAATCAAAGTGTAGATGAAATCTCTACGATCATGAAATATTAATAATGTTTTCTATTTTGAAATAAGCAAGTAAACCTATTAAATCGTGGCATGCATGCTGAGCATGGTGATGATTAAGTAGTGAAACCTTCAAGTAGCTTTAATAAATAATTCACTACACTGCACTACATGGTTTTTATTCTAACTACTCCATCTTTACTTTCAACCTGAATCATAAAGTATGGTACATTTTCAACAATAAACAGGAAGGCATCAAAGTATCCTATCGAGAGTATCATCAACTCCAAATACAATATCAACTATTCAGAATCGTCATCTCTAATTTCGTATAACGTTGTTATATTTTGACTTGATTACGTTTGAGTTTCACTTAGACGAGTTTTGCTTTACCTTGAGGTGCAATCTACGAATGTTTGGCATGCGATTCGCTCCTGCTGTCAAATGTAATATGATGTTACAGAACTGGACTACACTGACTCTTAGATTAGAAATAGGGAGTGAAGTGGTAGTGCTCGTTGACCGCTTCACTTATTTGGGAAGTACCATCAGCCAGTGCCAACGGGTTTATCTCTGACGAAATCTCAGTACAGAAACATAGGGCTAGTTTCGCATATGCCAGTTTACGCCGTCTTTGGCGTAGACGTGATATCCGGCTATCGACCAAAGGGCGGGTGCACTGCTCAGCAGTCTGCTCCGTCCTCCTTTATGGCTGTGAGACCTGACCATTGAGAGTGGAAGACATGAAAAGATTAGCTGTCTTCGATCATAGGTGCCTGAGCTCTATTTCCCGTGTGAGGTGGTATAGTAAGATGAGCAATATTGAGGTAAGGCGCCGAGTGCTAGGTAAGGTGGGATTTCGATCGACGAAGCTGTGAGCTTACACCGATTGAGATGGTTAGGACATGTGTAACGCATACATGCCTAGTCATCGCCTTCCTCGACGGGCAATGTTAGCTGACATAGGGTCAGACTGGAAAAGAACTAGCGGAGGTCAAACCAAAACATGGCACCAGTCAATGAAATCTACAACAGTTAGTCTAAGCCACGTAGGAAGGAGTAAACATCCTGGTTGGGTTTCTCGGGACGGTAAAAACCAGTGGCTGGAAACAATTGGTGATGTGGCTCAAAATCGTTCTCAATAGCGCAGATGCATCCACTCCTTGTGACTTATAATACCCAATAAAACTTTATTGTTCTTCGCTACTACTATTCCTTTTGCCTCATACCTCTGTTTACTGTCTCTATTATGCATTTCTTCTACTTTCTTGTGTTGCTTTGTGTGCTACATGGGGTGTGACAACTTGAACTGCCGCGTATATGTGCAAAGTTCTATCTCGAAAGACACAGACAGACTTCAGGTTAACATTGAACAAGGCTGGAAATCTGTGTGTTAAATAAATGAGTCAAATTGGTCCCTGGAAGTTCCTGACTTTATTTACAGCTACAGCATGCTTGTCTTGAACCTGAAACCAAAGTTTAACTACGTTTGGTTAGTCGCCTTTCTAGACTCAAGTATTTTACCATCGATTGGCAAGCCATGCTAGTAAAAAATATGAAGACCGAGGTTAGTAATCTTTGAAACTGGATTCTCCTGTCGTTCAATAAATTTCAAAATGTCGAAAAAAGGCTTTTCTTTTGCACTCGATTTCATTAGTTCGTCATTTTCATTAAGACGGAGAATTATGCAATACATGGCTACTTATACTTGAAAGTGCTGGTAATAAATTTGAAACTTACGAAATTTGTACTACAAGCCGCAATAACTAAATCTGCAGTGCTTTTTAGATTTGTTTATTAAAAAGGAAACAGAAATTGGCAGACTTTGCGAGACTTGGATGCTGATGACTACATGGGTTAATGGAGTACTAAAACTTGTCATTCTCCTAGGCTTCTGTTCTTTCTGATTTCGACTTCTTCGTAAGTCCTGTTTCTGCTTCGCCTTTCATCTCAGGCAGAATATTTAAGTTTTTTAAATAAAATATGATACTCAAACTTTAGTCATCTTCAGAATTATTTATTATTTATTTATTATACGACTGGTGAATTTCACTTCGGTTGTGCGTCGGTGGCACAGTGGTTAGGACTCTCGCCGATCATGCACATGCTGCGGGGTTCGATCCCCTGCCGACGCACACCCGGTATCTATGGTCGGCCTGAAAATTTGGGCTACCGATATCACATGCTGAAAATTCCATACTTGTACCGAAAATACGGTGTGGCATCAAGCTGTAGTCAAAATATTTACAAAAATTTTAAAAATAAAAGACAATTTAATTTCATTTATGACTTTATTTCCAGCATTTATAACACCAAATCCCTGTGAGAGTGCAACTATTACTGGCATTATTAATTTTCTTCGATTAACGTGCCCGTTTCACTGATAACTATACACAGACATGATTCAGATATTTTCATTTCGTATTATAGAACAAGAGAACAATTAATTCACTTTAATTTGCCTTTCCATATTCCTATTTGAATAATATTTTTAGGCTGAATTAAAAAATCCAAATACTTGTGCATTTATGGTTGAGCCAATTCAAGGTGAAGCTGGTGTTCGTACACCATCAGATGGTTACCTAAGAGGAGTACGAGAATTATGTACAAAATATAATGTATTATTTATTGCTGATGAAGTTCAAACTGGATTATGCAGAACAGGAAAGTGGGTGCTCAGTACTTTTGTCTTTTTGTTTTCTTATCTTTCTTAGGCATGTACAGTTAACCAGTAAACACACCTATAATAGTCTTTCAATCAATATCATAACCAGGATATTTAAATTAATTAACAAATCACTACTACAAGATTATAAAGCTTGATCACACAAGGTAGCTAGAAAGTGTTACGGATACAGAGTCAACACCTTCTGCAACAACCAGTGTTGACTAAGGTAGGATTAGGTAAAAAAGAGTTTACGGTGGTAAAATCGATATTTGTCATCTGTTCACAAAACTGTTACCTATTGGTGTGATCTAAGCAGATACAGGTTGCCCGACCACAGTACTCAGAAAGATAAACATCATTGGTAAGGACACTTGGTGGTATTGTTCAAAATCGTTCAGTCTTGTTTACTGATTGTCATCTTCCAAGATCCTAAGACATTCATTAATCATCCTTTCCTTCTATGTTACTCCGTCTTACTTCCTTAATTTTGTATGCTCCTTCACCTACCTGGGAAGCATCGTCTCAACTACAGGCGGAACTGACGAGGACATCAAAGCCAGAATCGGAAAAGCAAGACAAGCTTTCATTACTCTCAAATCTGTGTGGAGGTCAACAGCAATCAGCATCAAAAATAAGATCCGGATTTTCAACTCCAATGTGAAGCCAGTCAGTGCTACTATACGGATCAGAGACTTGGCGAGTCATAAAGAGCATCTCAAACAAACTTCAAACCTTCATTAACAGCTGTCTCCGCTCAATACTCAAGATCAGATGGCCAGAAAAGATCAGCAACAGGGATCTCTGGGAGCGAACCAATCAGGAACCGATTGTGAAACAAATAGGCAGAAAGAAATGGAGATGGATTAGCTGGGCATACTCTGAGGAAACCATCAAGTGACATCACTAGACAAGCCCTCGAGTGGAACCCGAAAGGGAGGCGGCGAGTTGGTCGTCAGTGAAAGGGTGACTTGGAGGAGGTCATGCGAGGAGGAGATGAAAGCATGTGGACATACCTGGAGCAGGGTGAAAAAGTTGTCAGAAAACCGAAGGCAATGGAGGTGCGCAGCTGAAGCCCTATGTTCCTCTAGGAACTAAAGGATACAATAATAATAATAATTCGAAGTGTGTGACTTTTCAGTCACTACTGAGGAGGTGTACCTAGTGAAATTAACCATTTTCAGTGGTTTTGTAATAACAAGCTTGTTAAAACTTCTGATTTAGAGTCGATAACTCTAAGAATAATTGTTTTCGTATCCCATGCTCCAAAGCTTCCGTTCCTAAACTGTACACTTGTTCGATTGATTGGTACCCACGTAACCACTTATGTCTCCACAGTGTTGGTCAAAATAACGAATATAATTACATAAATAAATAAAGGCTTTTGGTTGAATATATGGTATCACGTGTTATTGTAAAAAAGTGAAGATAAAAAGTTTTATAAAACCTAAATTTATTTTAGAGGATTAAAAGTGCATAAAATAGTAGTAATACCAAGTATTTTGTCCGTGATATAGCTGTCATCATTCCTAATAATATCCGCCATTTAGGCTTATTTTTGTTTATATTCAAAGTTCATTGTACTAGAATATTGTTTATGGTACTTTTGACATGATTTTTTAATGAGAGGGAAATATTAAGTAGACTATGAAATTATCAGCTGATATGAGAATAAATGAAAACAGGAATATTATTTTGCTGTGTAAAACTTCAGCCACCTGACTAACTGAAGAATGAATTTTAAAAATTGCTCGCAAATCTAAATGTTTTGTGTTGACAGATTTCAAATAGTTATATTATTCCAAAAGTACATTTTAAATGACCCAGCTAACACAAAAATTGTTATTTGGGCAAATAAAATGAAAAAGGAGTAAGAATATATAACCTAACATGTCACCTAATGAATGACTGTTTAGTTGTATGTGAAACTTACATGTCCTTTACCAAATAAGTCCTAAACACTGGATTTTCGTGAAGAAGGATATTCCTACAAAAACGGTGAACACAAGTGTTCAACGCTCATTGCTGGACTAGTAAGCATGGAGAGTTTAGCTAAAGATGTGAGGCGATTCTGATGCCGAATCAACGCTCCGCAATCCGAAAAGGCTTATAATCATATTTCGGTCATCGCAAGCCATAAAGAAAAATGGTCCTAAAGTCGACCTACTGCTTTTTAGATCAGACTAAGTCAAAGTCTAAGGAATCGGTTCCATAATATTATCGTCAGCTCTGGTCTGGGTTATCCAGCCATTGATCCCAATCTTAACACGAGTGTGGCAGATTTCTTAGTACTGGTAATATTGGTAGGCTTGTTTTAAATATGATGAATAAATAATGCATATCATCCGTAACCACGCTTTATTAGTCCTACTAGAGTTGTCTTAATACAAGACTTGTATTTCTTTATCAACAGAAGTCAAATACTTAGAATTATCTCACAGTGACCTCAGTAAAATGCCACCAGTACGAAACTATGTTATTCTAATAAAGAATGTTAACTGAAGCACGACTATGTAAGAAACCTATAAGAAATGTATGGTGTTAAGCACTATCAGTATGAGCCACTAAGAAAATTCACGCTATCTTACTGAGTCATGGGGATATTAGGAGCTAGTGATTCTAAGCTGTACTCAATAAATCTTCATATTTTTGTAAAAGAGCAGATATATAAATTCCTAGCCATAAAGAAAACTTTGAACTTCTAATTTATACTGAAATGTCTGTCATCTTCTTTGTCTTACATCCTTCTAGATAATTTCTATATATTACTGAATAACTAATTGACAAACCAAAGTAGGACTTAACACAAACTCGCATTACTTCTAGTTATCACACTTTGGATAGGCACACACAAAGCAATAGATGGAAATGAAGTAATATTACGATGCGTCGGTGGCACAGTGGTTAGGACTCTCGCCGACCATGCACATGGTCCGGGGTTCGAGCCCTCACCGACGCACACCCGATATCTATGGTCGGCCTGCGAATTTTGGGCTACCGATATCACATGCTGAAAATTCCATACTTGTACCAAAAATACGGTGTGAAATCAAGCTGTAATCAAAAATAAAAACTAAAAAAAAATAATAAAATAAATAAAATAAAAGAATAAGGATATATTACAGCAATAATTTATGAAAAGTGGTGTTGACACCGAGAATCTAGAAAATCTTAAAGAGTGGATCCATCCGCTTCTTCTTGGATGGATATAAATGATGTTACCATGAGTTCTAACCACTGGTTCTTAGTTTTCTGAGTATTCCAGACACCCTACCTACGTGATATACAGTCAAAACACGTATTTTTTCAAATAGTTCACATTCAGCAAACATGACGTGGAACAGATTAGGTTCTGTATGATTCATTCTTCCCTTGCTGGATAATTCGATATCATACTGGCTCTGAACAGGACACAATTTCGCGAATATAACATCAGCTTTTTTATACGTGATTAGATTTCATCAGTTACCAGTCATTTATAACCAATGCGATCTCTCAAATAAGTGAATTGTTGCTTTGATTGGTTTAAACTTTCCGCTATGTTAATGAGAGTATTGCTCTAGGCCGACATACTTTCCTGTGACACCCCCTGTTAGTCTCTTTGTGCACCCAAAATAATGTATAACAGAACTGATCAGTAGCGATTTAATATTCAGTATTGAGGGTTATGTATTTACTTTCATTTTTTCATCTTATTCTTACATAATTCAGAAAACTTTGTGTAGACCACGAAGGTGTCCGACCAGATATCGTTTTATTAGGAAAAGCTTTGTCGGGTGGAGTACTACCAGTAAGTTACAAAAATATTTATGTAAAATTTATATTTTTGTTATCTGACTATTTCTATGCCATCAGAAAACTCAAAATAGTTTTCATTGAAATTACTGGTAAGTGTAGTGAACAAAATTAAGTTACAGATACTAATTTGACTTGTGGGAAATTTGAATAGATTTGAATGTCTGTAGATGTGGTTCTAAATTTAATTCTTTGCTGGTTGCTATGACGATTACAATGTAGACAAAACTTGTACTACTTATTCAGCATACATCAAACTTCAGCGTTATATTTATTTAGGTCATTAAACTCACAAATATATAAGGTTTTCTTACAACTTTATTGCTCACTTGCTAACAAGTCTTACAGTCATGATTGTTGTTAATCAACATGAAAAATAAGTGACAGGTGATAATCACTTTTAGCTTCACTGTTTTTTTGTTGGTTTAATGGTGATTTTATCTTTTCAAAATCCATTTGTAAGCTAAAAGTAAAAAATATGACTAGTAAACAACCCCATAGTTTCATATCAAACGATGGACAACTGAGAATCAGTAAAACATCGAACAATAGTATAATTCAATATTCGCACATACGACATTCCAAGACTAGGACTTCAAGCATTTTGAATCCACAAAAATGGTTGTGAATTCAGTAAATTGCTGATACTGTAGTGAGTGCTACTTATAATCAGATATAAGTAGTATATCAGGATAATGCGTTTTTGGGCACTGGAAAAAGAAATCGAAGAAAAGAACTGTAAGAAAAGCGTTACAACACTGTACAGAATCCAAAAAGCTATCGAATGCGGTGATACTCGACCAATTCCCAAATGATGGGCAAATAAAGACTTGAAGATAATGTATATCAAATTTATGTACCTACAATGCATTTGTCCTAGTAACTGTTGCTTTCAAGCCTCATCGGTGTTTTCTCCTTTAGAGTACTTCAAACTTCAGTAAAATGGTAAAATAGTGTGAAGATTGAAGGCTACTTTGCTGCTAAGAAATCTCACTGAACTCCCTTCATCAATCGTGCCTTTTAAGCTGTAGACGAGTGATTTTTAAGTCTGACTTGTGGTCATTCAGACAAATACAATGTTTGTTTATCTAAAGCCTTCAGGCGGCGGGATTCACCCATGTCATTATACTAGGCAATACTTTAAGCACGCTGATCACGTCCAAGTAACCAACAGCATAAAACTCCATAAAACAGTGAGATTACAATATGAAGTAGATAATTTTTGTGCATAAAAACCCACTAGAACTTGTTGATTTTGTCGAATTTGTTTTATAATATGTATTCGTAAATATATCTGTAAACAAATTTGAACTCTGTACTTGTATATCTCTAGGACCATTATCTCTAAGATAAATCTAATATTCATTATAAATTATTCAGATTAATCACAGCGTGTTTAAGAAAAAATCAAACAAGATTTTTCTGAACGTTTCGCTGTCTAAGCTACAGCTACTTCAGCAGAAGTTTTTAGGATTTTAATAATCATCGAAATACATAGTCAAAATTGTTTTACATAAAATGAAGTCAGTTTAGTATTCATTTGGTGGATGGTGACTAACAGTGGAATCCAGGATGTACATTTCGTCTCGTTTGCGACTCGTTATCTGGGTGTACCTGAACTCCGAAGTGAGTGATGTTCCCACCGAGGCTCGAACCCAGTACCCATAGTTTCAAACGCCAAAGCGTTATCCACCAGACTACTTGGTCAACGACAGCCCCGGTGGGAACATTATCACTCATTGAAAAGTGCAGGTACATCTAGATGACGAGTCCCATATAGGACGCAATGCGCATACTGGATCCCACTGCTAGTCACCATCCACCAATTAAATACTAATTAAATGCCCAGACATCGTCGAAGCGTCCGCTCAAGAAGCCGACATGTCAACCTGAGACCGAGCACTTTGGTCCAATCAGTCGACAGGAAATTCTTAAATTAAATTGAAGTCAGTTTATTTGAAGATCACTTGTCGATAGACATTTGTTGCATGCAAATCTGAAGCAATGAAAACGGACCCAGAGACGACAGCAAAAATGCTGACTCCATTATTGCAAAAGCTCCGGAAGGAGGGAAAGGTGTCTACTGACTGGAGGAAAGGTTACCTCGTAAAACTACGAAAGAAGGGCGACTTAGGCCTCACTCTGCAAGAACTGGCGAGGAATCATGCTCCTATCGACGCCAAGTAAAATCCTGAGTCGCATCATCCTGGAGAGATTAAAGGACGCACTGGATACAGAACTCCGACCAGAACAAGCTGGATTCAGGAAAGGCAAATCATGTTCTGACCAAATTGCAACTCTACGCATCATCATCACAGAACAAAGCATGGAATGGCAATCAAACCTCTACCTCAACTTTATAGACTTTGAGAAGGCCTTCACTAGACAGCGTTGACCGTGAAGTAATTTGGAAACTACTCGAGTACTATGGCGTACAGTGCCCAAATATTCATCAACTTTATTCAACAGCTGTACGACAACGGCATATGTCAAGTCATCCACAACGGAAAACTCAGCGAGGCGTTTGGAGTAAACACAGGAGTCAGACAAAGGTCCTGGTTTATTATCACCAATGATATTCCTTATTGTGGTGGAGTGACTGGATTATGCGTCAGACAGTGAGTGGGAAGCGAGAAGACAGGAATATCCTGGACCGACGCGAAGAACCTAGAAGACCTGGATTTCGCGCGTAGATGATTTATGTTTGATGTCACACAAAATCGAAGACTTACAAGCGAAAACCGACAAACTGGTCGAAGAAGCAGCCGGCAAAGACAGGACTCCAAGTGAACATAGACAAGACGGAGGTGATGAGAATAACCAACCAACAACAACAGCAGCAACATCCAGCATCAATCACTATCAACGGGAGGGATTTGAAAGAGGTTACTTCATTCACTCACTCATCTAGGGAGCATTGTCTCAACTACAGGAGGAACGGACGAGGATGTCAAATCGAGCGAGAATTGGGAAGGCGAGAAGCACATTCATCAACCTGAAATCAATCTGGAAATCCTCGTTACTCAGCATCAATAATAAATTCGGTCGGATTTTCAATACAAACGTCAAGTCAGTCAGTTCTTCTATACGGATCAGAAACTTGGCGGGCGGGTCACAAAGAATATTTCCAACAGCCTGTTGCAGACCTTTATCAACAACTATCTTCGCTCTATACTGAAGATCAGATGGCCGGGCCGGAAAGAATCACCAACAAGGAACTATGGAAACAAACAAAGCAAGAACCAATCGCCCAACAAATATGCAGGAGAAAGGGGAGATGGATTGGATACTCACTCGCTGAGGAGGCCGCTGGGTGACATAGCGCGTCAGACCATTGCTCGAGTGGAACCAGGCCGAAAGGGAAGCGGCGTGTGGGACGTCCAAGGGTGACATGGAGGAGATCGTGTGAAGAGGAGTTGAAAGAATATGGACTAACATGGATGAAGGTGAAAAGTACAGCAGAAGACAGAAGCAAATGGAGACGTGCAGTTGAAGTCCTATGTTCCACTAGGAACCCAAGGAAACAATAATAATAATAGTTATTTTCGTAAATATATCTTCTTTGTAACTGTTAGCCTATTGCTTTTGATGTTCAAATTTTCCTCTGTTTCAGGGTAAACTTGTGAATGTAACATTTTATGAATTTCTCTTTTCCAAATTAATGTATATCATATATTTAATATATATTTTCTTCAGTAAATTAAACTCTTGATAAATATACTAATTAGATCATCTCTGTATTTACAATATAGTTTACTATAAAGTTCATTGAAAGTTACGCAGACAATTGATGAGTACATGAGTTATTGACCTTACTTTTCATTTACAGACGAAATTAAATGTTAATAATACTAACTATAGTGTACTTTAGGAAAAATATTAAATCTAAACATTTTTAGAGCTCATGTTGTACTGAACAATATTGTCATGTGATTTATTAGATTTTCATCTTAACAGATCGTCACCTATATGATGTTAGATAACTGAAAAAAAACCTACTTTAGCGAACCACCGAAAATCAGGGAGCACTGGACAGTTGTTCCGTCCTAGTTTGGGACTCATCAGTAATATACGCCTATAATCCCACCAGGGTTCGAACTCAGGACCTTCATGTTGCAAGGCGAACCCGTTGACTATTCAGCCACCGAAAAGAACTCATTGGTTCATGAATTTTAACTTCGAGCCAATTCGTGACGTATACCTCTACCTCAAACCAGGTTTCACTTGTGTTCAACATATCATCATATGAATTTTCAGTTCAGCTAATAATCCATTTTTTAAACTCCAATATCTTGTAAGCCAGAAGCATTAGGCATCATAGTGAAATGAATTTATCTTAACAGTGACAAGATATTTATTTTACTATTAAAGGTTTCATTGACAATGTCTCTATACTTTTCTGTATAATTTTTTTTCCTTCACGTTCCCAGTGGAACATAGGGCTTCAAGCTAGTGACTTGAAGTTTCTGTAGTAGTGTTGATTTTATAGGACGGGGTTGCTAGCCTCATGCCCAACCTTTCCTCTTTACCAGTCTTGTAACTGGCTTAGCGAGGTAAAGGGGTGCGTCGGCCGGGGATCGAACCCCGGACCATGTGCATGGTCGGTGAGCGTCCTAACCGCTATACCACCGATGCCTTCTGTATGTTACTGAAATGTTTATTATTTAAAGCCCTAACTCGAAGTACAACCTAGCTTCAATAAAGTAACTTCATTTTAGAAAACGAATTTAATTTCTGAATTCGTTAATATGAAAATAAAACATCATAATCTTCAGGGAAGAAATAAGTTAAATAGTACATATCTGAATAATTCATTGCTGTTCGTCATATACGATCTATAGGAATATAGGAATAATACATTAAGGTGTTAGCAAAAAAATGATGACTAAGATACATTATGGCATGCTACTGAGTCCCAATTACCGAGGGTTTTTTTTCCAATTATTCCTAAAGCAAAATGTGTTTTCTTTCAAACCATAAAACGAGACAGATCAGAATCTGAAGGAAATATACTTTTGAACGGCTACCATGATAAAGAACAAATAATTGTCTTTCTCCCTCAGTGACAAGTAGTAAAAAGCAAAGTCGCAGTCAATTTTCCATTTGATTGCATGGAGGATTTCATCATGAGCTGACATCAGTTAGAGAACCATTGGAAAACCTGGGAGTACTGGACAGCTATTTCGTCCTAGTTTGGGACTCTTCAGCAGTACGCACCCACAGGGGTTCGAACCCGGGACCTTCTGGTTACAAGGCGAGCTCGTAGACCATCGAGCCACTGGGACCCGATCGAATGGTCCTTGAATTCTAACTTCTGCCAATTCACGATATAGCGCAACCACTTCACAATGTCTTCTTCGATGAGTTACTGCCTCATCTTCAACCTGCTGTACCCTACTGGTCACGGCTTCCCACTAGGACCCCAGGTTAACTACCTGAATAGGCCAGTCCCAAGCTAGGACGAAACAGCTGTCCAGTACTCCCAGGTTTTCCAGTGGTTTTCTAACTGATGTCAGCTCATGATGAAATCCTCCATGCAATCAAACAAAATCCCTACAAAACCAATACCTGAAAATTTTCCATTTGTAATTACACTTTTCGACCCACAGTTTCTTATGAAAGAGTATTCATTAGAATACTGGAGAGAAAACAAGTAGAACAACAAAGATATCTTTCCCGAGATTTCATTCTCGATAGCTGTCCAATTGCAATTTCTTTCTAGTTTTTTTTCTCCCAAAAGTTAGCATAGTTACAATTATTATTTAATTAGATAGTGACAAAAGGGAAGGTAGAAAGTGATTATAATGATTCAAACCGGTATGAAAATTTACTAGTTATTATCTCTTGTTATTACCACCTTTGTCAGTATATTTATCCAATTAAATAATGACTGTAACTATGCTAAATTACAAAACAAAGAGTGAAATCTTTGTTAAGCTTCTTGTTTTCTGTCTAGATAAATAACTCAGAGTTCACAGAACAAATAGTTTTCACCCTTTAATTGGTGTATGGTGAGTAGAAGTGGAATGAAGGATGTGCATTTCGTCCCGTTTGGGACTCGTCATCTGGATGTACCTGCACTCCACAGTAAGTGATGATGTTCCCACCGAGGCTCGAACCCAGTACCCATAGTTTCAAACGGCAAAGCGTTATCCACCAGACCACTTGGGCCACGAGAGCCACCTCTTGTGCAACAGGTCATATTAATTATTTCATTGAATTTCAGATTTTCCCGTCGACTGATTGAACCGAAGTTCTCGACCTCAGGTTTTCACCCTATTTATACTTTGAATCACGTAAATAACATTCAGTTCATAGATAAATTTATTTCAAATCACTTATTTATCAAATAAATCAGGCTTACGTTCAATTCTTCTGCTGTGAAATAAAAGAACTTCCTTTGTAAACGTGATTCTCATTTTCTTTGTTTTTCCACATAATATTAGGTGTCAGCTGTTTTAGCAGATGATTCAGTAATGCTAACTATCCAACCTGGTGAACATGGTTCAACCTATGGCGGTAATCCTTTAGCTTGTAAAGTTGCTATGGCTGCTTTAAAGGTAAATAATTTAGTTGTAATTTCATTCATAAGTAGTAAATGATTTTTATACGGAGTCATATTTGTGTATTTCGCGTTATGTCGAGCTATTATTATCTCAAAGTTAAAAGATAGCGAATATTCAAATGCAAATCTAGCACTATGTTGATGAATTTCCTGATTAATTTTAATCAACATGTACTAGTTATCTTTAATTAACATTTGTGCGTATATTAGTAAAGAACTATTCAACAAACCAAGATGCCCAGCAATTCATCATAAGACATAAGGAAAAAATCCAATCGGAGAAAAGTTTCGTTTTCACTAATATCATTCGCTAAGGTTACACTTACTGTAAACAGTTAACAATTCAGTATAGAACAATATGCTGTAATCATATCATTATAATTTTATTGTGGAGGACATAAAATTTAGATCAGAATGCAAAAGAGGTTATGTCAAATCGTGAAAAGTGATTACCGTAACTAGAAATAAGCTGAATTTAACAAAGTATGGATAGCTTCTACATATGTAATATTAAATTTACGCATCTATGTCATCTGATAAAAGTTGAAGAGAGAAAGTAATATAATGCTAATGATTGGTGTTTGCGAATTTGTAGGAGAAAAATGAAACCAGTCCATATACAGACAAGACGAGAAGTTGTACTTACGTCTTTCGAATACTTAGAACGAATAAATCTGTCCACAATAGTAGTAAAAGTTTATATTTAAGAAAGACTTTTGTTAGTTAGTAAGTGTAGATGAAGTCATTTAGTGTTTCATTGTGAAATTCTACAATTCTTCATCTATCAATGTCACTTCCTTTAGAAAAATCAAGCTGTAAGGCCTAAATTTTTACTTATATATCACAATATTTCCGTAAGTTCACGCCATGCTTTTGGCTGACTATGCTGAAACTGTATCCATCTAATATCTATTCTCGAAAATCATCGGTAAAACGTTTAGTAATTAGGCATGTGCAAAATACACCTTAGCCATCATATTTCATTCTTTATTCTTTTAAGATTTCGAGTATTCATGAATAATTGAAAGACTGTTTTTATAAAACTCACTTCTGTGATATAGTCGTTTTTTAACCAACAAATGTTTTACTTTTATTTCACCAAGGTTTTAGAAGATGAAGGCTTAGCAGAACGTGCACAAAAGTTGGGTGAAACATTTCGTAATGAGTTAGGTAAACTTCCGAAATCCGTGGTTGAATCTTATCGTGGTAAAGGTCTTCTAAATGCTATTATAATACGTCAAGGTAAGTAATAAATTTTACCTGGTCAGGTATATTATCAACATATCATAAACGGGTTATCCAATCTCATCCTCAAACACTACAGGTGAAAATACTGAGGCTCTTTATTTCGGTATCTTTAATCTCGGTGTGCGTCGGTGGCATAGCGGTTAGGACGCTCGCCGACCATGCACATGGTCCGGGGTTCGATCCCCGGCCACCGACGCACTCCTTTACCTCGCTAAGCCAGAAATAATGCTGGTAAAGAGGAAAGGTTGGGCATGAGGCTAGCAACCCCATCCTGTAAAATAAACACCCCTAGCTTGGAGCCCAATGTTCCACTGGGAAACGAGAAGGAAAAAAATCTCGGTGTGTGAATTACGCTCGTTTATTTTAATGGCATGTCCATATTTGTTTGTTGAGGACTGGAATGGTAATCAAGTAAGCAAGTATCGTCCTACTAGGGACTCGTCGATCCACTGCATCTTGTTCAGTGGTGATGTTCTCATTGAGAACCATGTCCGACATTTATTGTTACAGGCATAAATAGGCTACTGAGTCACGTGAGCCATCTCCTTTTCAACCTGTGTGGATTAAGTATACTTCTGATTTCACTTTGACACCTCAAAACTCAAATGAAGTCACCTCAAATTATCGAGGAATCTGTTTAGAGAGTTCATATGCAAAAGCGGAGCTGATCATTTCAGTCCATAAGTATCAATAAAATATATAGCTCTGATTTTATCTCTGCCGCCTTAAAGTGCCTAAGTCTTTTTCCATTAGGTATTGTAACCTGAATTCTACCGAAATTATGACAAATTGATAAACAGTAAATTTAAAAAAAACTATGTCCATACAAAAATCGAAATTGAAGTAATTAGAACACTTCAGCCCAATAGACTGAACTATTTACTACACATTAGCTTTGGTCTAAACTATTAAAGATTAAGTCCGTTAACTGTATTACTTTAATGTGCATTATTATTATTATTAATCTCTTGGGTTTCGAGTGAAACATAGGGCTTCGAGAGCATGCCTCCAATTTGTCCTGTTCTCTACAGCCCTTTTCAGTCTCCCATCTCCTCCTTACGCAATCTCCTATATGTCGCCCTAAGACGCTTGACTTGTATCCCACTGGGGTTCCACTCGAGGACCTGGTGTGCGATGTCAGCCAACGGTCTCCTCAGTGCGTGTCCAATCCGTCTCCATTTTCTCCAACATATTTGTTGAGCTATAGGTTCTTGATTCGCTAGTTTGTAAAGTTTCTTGTTCTTAATTTTCTCTGGCCATTTGATCTTTAATATATGGAGGAGGCGGCTAATAATAGCAGTTCACCGTTAGCTGCTGGAAATGCTTTATCTGACGCACAGTGAAAGATTCTGACTAATATAGAAGAACTGACTTAACATAAGAGCTGGAAATCCGAATTTTGTTCTTTCTGGTGAATGCAGTAGATTTCCAAATTTATTTCAGACTGATGAAGGTCTGCATTGCCTTTCCGATTCTAGTTTTGACATCCTCATTGGTGGGGCCTGTAGCTGAAACGATGCTTCCTAGATAAGTGAAGGGAGTAACCCTTTTCAAATGTATTCCATTGGTAGTGATTGGTGCTTGTTACTGGTTGGTTGTTTATCTTCATCTCCTCCGTCTTCTATACGTTTACCTGAAGCTCTACCTTTGCTGCTTCTTCTGTCGAATTGTTGGTTTTCGCTTGTAAGTCTTCAAATTTATGTTATATAAGATATAAATTGTCGGCGAATTCAAGATCTTTTAGAGTCTTCTTATGGGTCCTAGATGATCCTGTTTTCTCGCTCCCCACAGTCTTTCCACATAACTCATGTACTCTGGGAGAATCATAACAATTAGTTTTTAATTACATGACTAGTACTATTTGTAGCAATACTTTGATTTATAAAAGCTTGCTAACTTATTTAGATGGCTTCTTGTGCAAAATTCAAGTATGACACTAAATTATTTAAGCTTTAAAATTTTTACTTTTACTTATAATTGTCTTCATTTACCGTAAACAGGTTTCAACGCATGGGATATTTGCATGAAATTACGTGATCATGGTCTACTGGCTAAACCAACCCATGATACAATAATCCGATTAGCCCCACCACTAGTCATCACGAATCAGGAACTAGATAAGTCGGTTGAAATTATCAATAAAGTGATCAATTCATTGGTTAAATAATCAATCATTTCGAAACAATAGTGCAAAAGTCATCATTAGACGTGATATTTTGGTAAGTATCCAGTATTACCGCCACTGTCAGTATATAAAATAGATTGCTCATTAACACATATGAATAAGTAACAGTTTTATCAGTTATCAAATCAGCTAAACAATACAAGATCCTTTGAACAGTGATGAATTCAAACAGCTAGATCAATAGTGTATTAAACAAATAGGTGTAATCAGAGGGGTCCAAATGGCTGTAACTCAAACTTACATATCAAGTAGGAATTATTATGACTCAAAGGCATGCAAAATGAAGAAAAAAAATAGTATGTGACTTTTAAACGCTTAAATAAAAGGTAAGGGATGAAAATGAAAAATCGCAATATCACAATTATTATAATATGTTAAGACATCAGAACATTTAGTTTTCCACCATTTTACTCGTCACTTCGATGTTGTCCAAACCACGTTAACTGTTTTCTTACTTCATAACCATATCAACTTTAGGTAACATTGTGAGTTACCCTACACGAATTCAATCGATGTAGATTTACATTCGTACTGAGTAACGTACCTTTTATTCTGAAGAAAGTGGAGAATAATCTTTCGAAATTGAATGAGTAGTCATTCTCTATGCGTTTGGCTAATTATCACGAAAAATTCTTTGTGGAGAAATCTCAAATGACATCTGGTTATCAGATTATATTTCTATATTAAACCACTTTACCAAGTAAAATGTCACAATTTTACTCCTGGATGTTAGTTTTTTGGTGTAGATTACCTTTCCACAATGATTACTCGTAAATGTGTCACTGTATTGTCATTCCGTAAACTCCTTGCAGTTGTATCGAAGTCTCATGAAATAAGTTCGATGCTGTGTGAGAAGGTTAACGTCTGCTAAAATTATTAAAGTGACTGAGCCAACATCTCCATTATTATCATCGTTATCATTGCAACTTTCATACACTTAAACATGATTAAGTTAAAGAATAAATTACAAAAGAAAAATAAATAAACTTTTTGAATAAATTCAGTTATATTGCTTATACTTTATTCTAAATTTGGAATTAAAAGATTTTTTTAAAGTAATGAAGGTGATATGACACTGGCTGTTAGCTCACAATTTATAGTTCCCAAAGTCAGTCTGGGCTTACCACTTTACATAACATTTACTGCACAATACCACAGGAAAAGGTGTAATTTTTAAGAAGTTTCCCAATATAAACTATGTATATGTGTTTCAGATAACTATAAACAGATCTCAAGGTATTACAAATTTATGAGTAGTATTTTGAGTGAAGAAATAGCAATATATATATATATATATATATATATATGGATTGGAGGGAAGAGCTTGGCTTCTGCTGATATGTTAGATCCTTCTGCAAACTCTTCAATGATTTATGAAGACTTAACTTGAAATAAATTGGTGGATGGTGACTATGGACACTGGGTTCGAGCCTCATTGTGAAACACTATCACTCACTGGGGGAATGTAGGTAGGTACATCCTATGACGAGTCAAAAATAGGGTGGAATGCACATCCTGGATTTCACTGCTAGTCACCATTCACGAAATTAATCCTTATATGTTTTCGAAAACATTTTAAATTGTATTTTTCGATTTTTATCTGAGGTACTAATGTTAAGGGAGGTTGTGAAATGATTGTCATAACATCAATTTAACAGAAAGCACACTCGGAGTAATTACTTTTAACTTGTCATTGTGCCTGCTACTGTCATCAATATGAATTATATGGATGTATGCGAAAAGTAATTATTCATCGCTTTGCAATTGATAGTGTTCTCTGAGTTCCTTGGTTTAATTGCGGAGCTTTCATCGTCTTTCTGGACGACATCTTCAGCGCAGTATTTAGGATAAAGTGAAATGATTTAAATTTCTTCATGAGTCTCCCGGTAACCATCTTTAGATATGTATTGACCGTTTTCTATTGATTGGGATTTGAAACTTTCTGATCACCTGATTTACTTTTTATTAGTTGGTATATTTCATCTATATTAACGTGTTTATTAATTGCGTTTTCATTTGAGTACCAGGCTTCTAGGAATCCCCTGGCACATTTGGTGCTTCCTCTGTTTAAAATTTTGACATTATCCCAATCAAATTGATGTCCATAATCGTTTGTATGCATTGATACTAAAGAATTTATATCATGTCTTTTCACGGCTGATTTGTGTTCCGGGATTCTTATTCGAAGGGGACGCCCACTTTGGCCGATGTAATGTTTATTACAGTTCATACAATTTATTTTGTAAATGGTGTTAATTTTTTCTCCCTTTTCTATCGGATCTTTTGGTTTGCATAAGATCGAATTAAGCGATTCAGCTGGTTTGTGTGCTACATCTATATCGAACGGTTTCATTATTCTAGCCGTTATTTCAGAGATTCATCGCTTTACCACACGTTTATTGTGGTCTCATAAGATTTCATTTTCTTTACCTTTATGTGTACTTTTATTAATTGTGACAATTCGAACTGATACACTTTTGTGCTAGTCTTAAAATTGACAATTCGGTTCAGTCAATATTCTAATGCATGAAATTTTTCATTGTCATTGTGCTGCATACCCCCATTATACCATTCATAGGAATGGCAGACAGTAAGATACACCATATAATATTCCACATTTTCTAAACAGTTGTAATCATTGTTTATGACATAATATAAAACCATTAGACGAATTATAAAACAATAACTGATTAATTTAGATATTATTCATTTGTTAGTAGGATAAAGATCAAACACTGACACTTCACATTTACGTACTTTTAACGTGTATGCAAACAACAAAACACCACATGCACACATACTTGAAACTTTGCAAATTGTTATTTATTTATATCTAATAATGACAACTTTTGAGAGATCTGAAAAACAATGTAGATGTTTAATATTATTACATGCGGTTAGAGATAAACAGTGACCAAAGTACTGTTCAAAGTCATTTTTAGTTCAATGTAACTACGTTGGACAAAACAGTTTAGGGATTTCCTAATTAATAAAATGAGTATAATCATAATTTACATTATAATATAATAAATAATCGAATGAAATGAGTCAATTGATTGTTCAGCGTTCATTAAACGCACTACCCTTGAGATGAATTTTTTTATTAAGAGTATCTGACGAGTATTGTAAAACAAGCAACATTACAGAACAGTTACTGTCGACTTAATAACAATGAATGACGATCACACATTATATCACAAATTACTAGTCGTTAGTATTAATAGACTACTGAATTTTGGCCTAGTGGTTTAGAGGTAATGTGAGATAAATAATCTGATGAAGAAGGAAAGCTGAGAAGAAAGACGTAAATTAACATATGACAAAGATGTGTACGTCAAATTCTAAATGCACTTGTATTGAAGGATTTCACTCGTTTAATTAAAGATACATGATTGTAGACGAAATTAACAGAAATAAAGAACGATTACACACAAAAAAATTACTTGATTATTAAGAAAATCTTGTCAGTTTTGCAGTTTAATACTTATACCAGTCATTTCATCATAATTAGACTTGTTCTGGCTTTCAGTGGTGTGATATAATACACAAGTGTTTGAAATAGATTTTGTGAATGTATAAAACATAAAAACCATCAAATAGCTCTTTTTTGTCGGGTACTTCTTAGCATTGCCTACCCACAGCTACCCCAGTGATCGAGTTAATAGCCTGCAAATTATGATGCAAGGCTTACGGTATTCCATGTCTCTTAATCTGCCACATTGTTCTAATGCACATATTACTAAAAAGATAAATAGATAGACAGTTTGTGATAAGAAAGAAGCAAGATGAGGAAGGTTATGTGAGTAAAGGAGAATGATGTTCAGGAGGGCTTCATGTGCTTTTGGAAGTGTGTGAGCGGTTGTTACTTCTCGAGTGCCCACACAGTGGAAGTTGGTTGATTCTTCGGGTACCTGAAACAGAAAGAGTGTTGCGTGACCGCGGAGTCCAGGGGACAACTGCTTGAGGCCGGTCACACACGGCCTGTATGAATTGGTTTCTGGGATTGGTTCCGTATTAGTAAACTTACCACCGGTTACGGACGACAGTAGGGTAAGTCGGGATCTACAATTTTTAGGGTCGATCTTTTCTAACCCCCTCTCTCCGGAGTGGAGAGACAGCATAGTTGGCACGATGGTCATCTGAGGGAAACACCTCACTGCTGTTACACCCCTGTTCCCCAGCAGTAAGACTTCGCCGTTAGACGCCCAGCATAATGGAAGAAAGATTCTTGCACAATTCCGGTAACTGCTTTTAGTCTAATCGCTATCCTAAAAACCTTCCTGGCCTGGTAGGACCTGCAGGAACATTGGTTCCAGCCAGTGTAGCTTGTTGGGTCATTGCGATGTGCAAGCCTGACCACCACGTCAAATTAGCAGCTATCGGTCGGGGTGATAAGAGAGACACTTCACATAAGTCACTTTGGAAAACCTTAAGTGATGTGAAGGAAAGTACAGAGTCCCTATGCTAGCCTGAAGTCTTCCAACAGTTTAATCCCCACAGTAATATCTGAAGCGACTGTTAATCAGTACTTAAGGTTAGTTAAATTTTATCCCGCATATTATTTCAAGATTATATTGTTTTTTTCCACAACTTCATTATTATCACCTCATACTGTTTAACATTTTCAACTTACTTTTCAGATCTTTCATTTCCCTTCTCAATCATCTTACGGCTGGAAAATTGTGATGTTTGTGCAAAACAACCAGACGGCTTTCATATTTTCAAATTAAGTAACTAATTTATTGCTTTGAAAATTATTTTCATTTCGATGAATGGTTGTTGTTGTAGGTTGAGTTGATTTACATTACATTTATTTAAAAATTACAATTACAACATATTCCTACATATGAACTTTGGCCGATATTTTCTTTTCTTTGAATTATTCCTTGGTGTGCTGTAGCCAAATTACATCACCATATTGATTTTATTTTCATATTCTAAAATGAGATATACACATCTATTTTGATCCTATGCTGTATGTTTATTTGAATTTTTATTTTCCAGATTTATTTTCGACGTTTTGGTAAGCCAATACAACAAGCGTAATTATTATGTTATCCAAGTCTTCGTGCCTTTTACTTTACAAGAAAATGTCTACATCTTATTTAAATCTGTCAATTACTTGAAAAGGTTTCTCGATATTCCACGGACTGGTAACTTGTTTGCAAAGCCCAGATAGTCAAGGAAATAAATTCACAAGTCTAGTAATACCAAAGTGAAACTAAAAGCGTAAACATCATTAATTTATTACATTGTCTCGTAAGGCTATTAAAAAAGCATGCGTTCCTTTATGGTCATGGCAGACCATCTGGTTGTATTAACTCAGTAGCTTTGTGAATACAACTTTAGCGTTTTAAATCATAGGCGCTTAGTTTGAATCCTAATGAAGACATAATCAGACACTGGGAGGCAAGTACAAATAGCTGACAAGTCACCAGTGGGATGAAGTCTCGATTTTGAGTTTAGATGGTAATTACTACATAACAGAAGTATTCACAAATAAACTGTTTTCCAACTGGAGCTATGTGCTCAGAGAAAGTTCGTACATCCACTATTCCTCCGTTGGCTAGTGAAGACTTAACGAACTACTCATATCACAACTCTCATAAATTTTCCACCCCTTTTCTTGGCAGTTCGTGTCAATCTTGCCTTAGTCTCAACATATCTGCATTGATCACAGATTAAATCTCTTTGGAGTTTGGCGATTGTTAGAGAAAGTTTCTAGCCTTTGAGGACTGATAACTTATCTCACAAATGCTTTTTGTTCTGGAACAGACTTTTTATTACAGTCTTTGACGTGGAATAAAATAAAGAGATTTTAAAGCATCAACATCTTCTTGTGGTCACAATACGCGGAAAGCCTTATTGACAAATAGCGCATTATCCTGAGTAAAAAGACATAAACGAATAAGTTATCTGGAGTATGGTTTTAATGGTTTCAAGACACATTTGTCACATAATAAAAGTCTCCCTTCTCTGATATTACTTGATGTTATAGACGAGTGTGTTACGTATGCCAAGCCATCGCCTCCCTCGACGAGCAATGTTAGCGGATATAGGGTCAGGCTGGAAAAAAGCTAGCGGCGGTCAAACTAAAACTTGGCATCAGTCAATGAAATCCACAACAGTTGGTCTAAGCCACGTAGAAAGGTGTAGACTTCCAGGCTGGGGTCCTCGGGACGGTAAAAATCTATGGTTGGAAACAATTGGTGACATGGCTCAAAATCGTTCTCAGTGGCGCAGATGCATCCACTCCCTGTGACTTATGATCTTCAATGAAACTGTTTTGTATTTCTTTATTACTCCTTTGTCTCACACCTCTGCTCACTGTTTCTATTATGCTTTTCTTGTACTTTCTTCTCTTGCTTCGCGTGCTACACGGAATGTGGCGACTTGAACTTCCGCACATTTGTGCAAAGTTCTATGTCGAAAACAGACAGACAGTGTAAAATGTTAATAAATTAGCTCGAACATTCAAATAAGCACTAAACTCTGTTTCACAGATCAGAAGTCTTTTCGTGCAATAACTCCTAAGATATTGATTGACAAATGTAAATTTAAAATGAAATAGAATAGTCAAATCAGGATTACTGAGAATATTCAGAACTTAGAGAATAGATGCGTAAGCACACGATCACAGCAAACAAAAGAAAAGTACTTGATCTATAAGATCTGCCTTTAAAATTCTGAAGTTGTATTTAATTCAGTTCTAAACAATCGACTAATTTTTTAAACTTCCTCCAGTTTCACTATGTATTATACCTAAAAACATGGTCGTAGATGAATACCTGAGCGAAAGAAATCTTTTTCAACAAATTTACTTCGGAAAAATTCACAACATATAAGTATTAAGCAGTTAACCTCTAAGTCCTTATTCGTGTGCTTCAGTGGATGTTGTGATACTTTCGTCATTTGTTTTCCCCATCCCAAGGTATTTTCAGTGGACAGTACATCCAAAGTAAGAATATTTCAGTGTATGATTATTCGTGGAAAAATTGGTCCATCTGATTACTGTTCATTACTATGCATCGCATTAACCTCAATAGTTTGACTGCTGATGAAATCTCAGCTTGGATACAAAAGGCTGGTCCAGCACATATGAACTTGTCTCATCCCTGGTGCAGACATAATATCTATCTACCTATCGATCAGCTTGACTCTTCGCTATGGCCATCTCCATAGTTACGAAGCGTGTCCACTCAAATCGGGAGAAATGAAAAGGATAGCTATCCTTGACCAGAAATACCTGCGTTCTAACTATTGCGCTGAGCTATAATTAGTTCTAGTGAAAAGTTTATGGTAAGAATAGAAGGTCGATAGATAAAGCTATGAGGCTGCATCCATTGATTTTGTATGGTGTATTCTAAGACATTCCCTTCCACAACGAACAATGCTAGGTGGATTAGAACCACGCTATAAAGGAGTGAAGAGTAGTTAGACTAAAACATGAAAGCAATCCATGAAGTACTTGTTTGGCTGGAGTTACGGAATGCTCGTTTCAAGAGACCTAAATTGAGCGAGTTAGACAGGGTGGTCTACTGAAAGCATCGGGCTACCTGAATTTTCCATCCAACAAAATTCGTCGTGTCCACTTCATTCCTGATTGTCCTAATCTTGCAATTATTTTTTTATTTTATTTTGATTACAGCTTGATTCCACACTGTATTTTTGATACAAGTATGGAATTTTCAGCATTGATATCGGTAGCCCAAATTTCGCAGGCCGACCATATATATCAGGTGTGCATCGGTAGGGGATTGAACCTCGGACCATGTGCATGGTCGGCGAGAGTCCTAACCACTGTGCCACCGACGCACAATGAGTCTCGACCTATACTCACGCACAATTTCTAACAACTTTTTAGCTACCGCTACGAATTTCTCGAAGGGAATCGACAAAGCCCATTGTGAATTAGCATTAAATCATAATTTAGACTGAACAATATTGCTTCAGATGGTGTATTATCGATTATTGTTATAACATCATTCTACACAAGGGGTATATACCTTGCAATGCAACCCACTGAAAATTCTATATTATGTATTAAACACATTTTTCAGAATAATGCTATAATTATTAGAATGACATGGTCTTATTTCTTCGATACAACCCTTGAACAATTTTAACAAAACAGTAATTTGAAAGTTCAACTAATTTAATTGTTGAAAATGGAGATAATTACCATCACATGGTACATAATACTTACAGAAGCAAGGGGTGACAGCGGTTACAATAAGTGATCAAAAATCAAGGTGTGATTTTTAGTCAAACAATAAAAGCTCTGAATCGATATAGTAGGATTAAATAATGTAACGAAAATTTACCACGATATGGAAAGATTGAAAACGATTTCTTTCTGATTATGTGTATTTGAATTTCATTGATGTAATATTATAAATATCCATGACGCAGATATGAATTTCCTGATTCACTGAAACACAACAAACTAAAACTCGCTGGCAAATTAATTATTTCAAAGGGTTTTTATAACATCAACGTCATGACTGCTGTCTGTCAGATAAATGACAACTATAATGCCGCAAAGCTGGACACCCTACAATCATACATATGCCCAGACGTACAGCCGTAATTCTTTACTTCTCTTCATCAAATGTACATGTAAACTGATGTATGAAAAGTTGTGTTTATTAAAGGAGTAAGTAAATTAAGTAAGATATCATGACATCAGCAGAAAAATCTTTAAAATTTCTGTAAAGTTATAATAAAACTAAGAGTAATAATGTAAGTCAAAATAAGGCTTAAATGTGACAATAAAGTAATTAGTCCTTTAGAAGGAAATCGTTCACCGTGAAGGAGGTGAATAGTTCTCTTCCAAACAAAAGAATCGAATAGCATTTAATTTGATGTCTATAACGCAGACAACCTACTCTATGAACCGTGATGAGAATCTTTGTATACACTTATGTTGATTATTTAGTTGTTTGCACGGTATGTAATTGAAAACGATACTGTGAAATATATCATATCATTCTGTGCAATCACATTTAATTATTATCCTTTACTATAATGCTCAATAAAAACATTTCCTAAGGTGAGTAATACTATTTGTCGCGATTTCATTTTGACAGTCACATAGTTACACATTCATGCGAATTAAGAATATTCCGGTGATCTGATTAAATCCCCAGGTTACCTAAATTTCCATTTGGTATAATGCATAGACCCTATTCTATTTTTGATTGTTTTATCCATCTAACTGTGTTTTTGGATTGCTATGTGAATTTGCACACATTTTCAACTTGCTGTAATGCAAAGCGCTTCACAATAGAAAAGAAGAAAAAATATCGTGAAGAGGTTTCGATATTGCTCTAGATGCAAGAATTCAGGGTTCTGCCGAATAGCGTTTTACTTGGAGATCCCGTCCAAAGAGTAGATATTTTGTAATTTAAATACGCTAAAAAATACTTTGCTTTTGACTCTAGTGCGTCGGTTGCTTAGCGGTAGAACACTGTCCGGGTTCGATTGCTAAGTGACGCACTCCTAGACCTCGCTCACCCGGTAGAAAACGCGGTAAAGAAGATGTGGATATCTTAATTCTTCAAATGAATAAGATAAAAAAACAATAGGGATGAACCATAAGATTATGATAGCACTAAGTGCAACAAAACAAAATTAAATAAGGGTGAAACAATATTCTGTGAATCCCTCATACTTCTTATTATCCAACCTAGTCCAAATATAAATACCAGTGTTAAGGTATGAAAATGAAATCCTAAGAAAGACAGCTTTCTTCACAGAAATAATTCCTCCTTGCTCTAATACTCTGTTTAGAAGCTCAAACACCAACTTATTCTAATGAAATAAGTACTAGAGGCTTCATTCACCCTGGTAACATAACGTCTATGATTGAATATCAAACAAGCTTGATAAATTCCTTTGTGGGTAAATTTTGTTTTGATAAAGTCTCACAGTGTTATACAGTGACGTTTATTGATGACGTTTCGAGCACAATTTATTCCTCATAATCATATCAAGGTAATCACACGACTTCCTAACTGCATTTATATAGTTCCATTGTTTTTCACTTGAAACAAAACAAAATTTACCCATAATGGAATTACACTCTACCACAGGGCACAAGTTTTATTCTTACATCAAGCTTGATAAATATTAATTTATTGATATTAGATGGTTGGAGGCAATCGGTAGAAAGCCTTGGACCTAGGTTTCGTGTTAGTTGGCAGTCACCAAGGCTTATCTGTCCTAAAGGAGGTCAATCGCGAGCTCGAATAGCTCACTGGTAACGTCTCTGACTGCAGGACTGGGTGACATGGGCTCGAATCTCAGAAGGGATATGAGTTCCTTCAAGGTTTCAGATACGCTTTGCTGACCAGTGAGTGCCAACTACACGAAACCTAGGTCCAAGGATTCCTGCCGATGGCCTCCAACCACTTAACATCAACACTTCAAAGTGCTTCGTGATGGCGAGCTACCTAGAATGGTGGCAACATTGCAAACCTCACTGACACAATTCAGTCTGCACCAAACAAAGGGCTAGGCACATCACACTAGTTGCTAGAGTCCAATCAAAATGTTAAATTATTTCTGTCGTCATGACTACAATTTATTACATATTTTGACTACTCTTGTAAGTAGTAAGTAGTTGAACTATATCTTCAAAATAAAGTTGCAATTCTCACAAGTTGAAACAGATTACCCACCTACATTAGACAAACAGAATAAACATTTTCTGTGCTTATGTCTTATCATTTAGTGAAAGCAGGATTATATACTCCAGCATTTCCTTTGATAACTAATCATTGCAATGAAACTTTTCTGTAACCCTATTGCATTTTTTCTTCCTCTTTTGATAATTTCGAAGATAACACTCGGAAGTACAACATTAACAACAACTAAGTTGTAACCGATTAGTCCAAAACAAAGATCTCCCTTCTTCCTTCAGAACTGTACTCATGACATCATTTGCTAAAAGTGAATGCATGGGTAGAGGTTATGACATTAATATTGAAAGTGTGCAATATCTAATATTGCACTACTGGGATTGATATTTGTATTTATTTTATAACTTAATATCACTAAATTCTCATATAAAATTAATTCTGAAGTTGTTGGGATTAAAGCAACGAAATCTTAAATAATGATATTATATCTACATACCCTGTGGGTTAGATTACAAGCAACCACTTTTATGAGTGATCTTGACTTGGATATGTTGACACCCTACCATACGTTGAGAATGTGTTCTATTTATATACTTTTTAGACAGCATTATTACTCATTGTGAGTTAATGAAATACATCCTTCATCTTTCAGTTTCATTCGGTATCATACAAGTAGGCTTAAGAAGAGAGATTTACATACGACAGCTAAGTAATTTCGATGTAGACAGAAAAATTTCATTTGAAAATGACACCAAATTTACTACAGTTTGCTGAGGCCATTGGAATCAAGTATTTTCAACCGAACAGAAGGAATGCATGATCAGTCTTTTACACACTAAGAAACATTAATTTTGATTACGCTGATTGCACAACACATCCAGATTAGTAATTTCAACTCACTGGGCTCTAGACTACAGAGTCATGTTGATCTGTATATTCATAAAAACACTGATAACCTTAAAACTGTACATTTCTCAGCATCTAATTTTTACTCCAAATTTTAGACGAATTATAAATCAAGTTAATACAGTTTACAAGGTAGAATGTTTCAAAAGTTATTGATAGAATAACTTGAATAATGCATTTTAATTCTGTTGTGTATCCCACTGGAATTATTAATTTTGAACAACAAGTCAAATTATTCAGAATTATCTAGAAATGGTTCCATCTAGAGAATAAGCCTGATTTTCCATACTTCAGACGTATGCATAACACTGCAAACTGTCATATTAACTTCTTCATATGCCGCTGTTTGCAAATTTTCTTCTATTCTATTGAGATTTGTTTAAAATAATTATTAAACTTCCCTTAGTTTAGTGTGGCAACTGCTGTGTGTTCTTATTATCTTTGGGGTTTTACAAAGCTCCTAGTCCTAGCTTCTTTAAGATTCATCTTATTGGCTTGTCTTTTTAATGTTACTGGTCATTGCCTTTGTACCACACTTTTAATTGTCCCTATTACTGAACTTGATGCTCTTCTTCCTTTAAGAAAGATGTTTCTCATCATCATTGTCATACTGAAGTTGTGCCCCTTTTACAATTTGATTTTTCTCTAAGAATTTAAAACATTTCATTAGTTAATGGTAGTGTCTCACTGCTTATTGTGCCAGTGACTACTGAAATTCTCTATCCTGTTTGTTGTCATACGAATGGTACTGGGGAGGAGAGAAAATCCACAAGCTGATATAGTACTATTTACAGATTATTTTCCAAGTATTATAATCTATCGCTCACCACGACTATGAGATAAAGAAAAACTGTCTTCAAATATTGCATTATGCACTAACATTGATATTTTCCGGAAGTAGCTATTACAATTACAAACTTAGTTAACGATTATTCACGTGATTACTATGCGTAATATAAACACTTCATTGAGGCATATTGCCTTCAGTCGATATTAATCACTTCCTGAATAGAAGCCTTTTACCACTTCTATGATAGTTCATAACTCTGTTTTGTTAACAAATAAAAAACAGTCTGAGTTGATTACATCACATAATGAACCAATAAATTCTCAATCGAAAAAATAATAATAATAATGTTTGTTTAAGTTGATGACTTTATTTGACAAGAACAAGATGAAGAACAATAATAAAATAAAATTGTTTCTTGCCGGAAAACAAAAGTATATAATAATATAATTTACGCAGAATTATATCTATCATTTGAAAACTACAAATTTCAAGGAGAGAATTCACCACAGTTTCTTTACGAAACTAAAACTAATCAGATAGTTTATATTTTAGCATATTTGTCTATGATTGCATGGAGGATTTCATCACGAGCTGACCTCCGTTAGAGAACCACTCGAAAACCTGGCAGTAATGGACAGCTGTTCCTTCCTAGTTTGGGACTCTTCAACAGTACGCACCCACCGGGATTCGAACCCAGGACCTTCTGAGGATATTTGTGTATCTTAAATAAACCCAAGACAAACTGATGTAGATATCAGTCAACTTATAATTAAATGAGAAACTAATTTTTAATTAGCGCTTTTTAAACTACAACCTCAACAAGCCATGGAATATTGTCTATAAAGAGGTATATTTGAAATTAAACTTGTTTATTACATCAAATTTTTCAGATAATCTCCATCTTCTAATAATACTATCTAAACTTATTAACGGGACTCCAATACAACTTCCGAGTAACAGATTAAATCTTAAAAGAATTTTTAGTTTGTAAGTTTCACCTAGTCTGACGGTTAGGATTCTTGGATGTCATCCATGAGGCTCAGGTTCCACTTTCGGTGTATGAACGCTTCATGAGTCGGTGGTTCAACAGCAGTATACTCACCCGCCATACAGGAGATATCGGTTGGATTTCCGGTCGACACACTCTTAAATCTTGCCTAGTTAGTTATAAGTCCTAAAGAGCGGGAAGATTGGGCGTCAAGGAACTCCAACTCGGGAAATAACCAAGCAAACCCACAGCTACTGAAACTTCAAAGCTTGAAGCTTTTTGTTCTAATCGGAACCCAAGAAATGAAAAAAGACTTGGTTATATGGAAGTCGACTTGTTTGTGAGATCATGGCTTTTTTGATTGGTTGGTTTGAAGAAAACAAGTAAACTAATGACAGAAAAAAAGCATGTGCCATAAACTGGGAGTGGGGAAGCTTCCAAACGATTCCTTTTGTAGAGATTTGTAAAGATCTGGTTGATTTTAAAGTATATCATCTGAGAAGTGACTGAAAATCGAGTGTTGATCGTAATCTGTTTTCTTTAATGAGATACACCACAATAGTGAACAGAAAGATCCACTCTAAAACCAAGAGATTTAGCATTTACATATTCTGTAGTATTGCCATATTCACTTTAAATGCATTGATTCAGGCTTAGGATCGTTCACGCTGTTTACTGACGATATTTAAACGATATGCTCTCACATTATAAATTGCTCCACAAAGTTTAGCTACTGGTGCACGAATTACTGATAAAGGAATTGATTATTTTAAGATTCACAGAAATGAGTTCGTTTCTAACCAAGAACTTGAACTTAGAGCAAAAGTGCCACTAGAAGACATAATGCTAAGAGTGCAGCTATGCCTGACTTCTACAATATTTAAATATTAAGAGGAATAGACAAACAAAGGGAGTTCCATTATGACTTGATATGATTATAAGTAATGATTTGTGCACGAAACATCATCAGTAAATATTACTGTACAACACTCCGTGATTTATGAGAAAATCTTATCGACAACGGAGTTGTAACCTACTACCACAGTGTTCAAGTTTTATACTTACATCAAAAAACTTAAGTTGTTATCGGGTCAACAATATCCCCGGTGGTAGCAGATATATTCATGGATAGGTGGGAAAAGATGGCGATTGAAACGTTCACCCCCACCCCAAAAGTATGGTGGAGGTATGTAGATGACACAATCGCTGTACTTAGAACACAGGATATACATAGGTATTTCGAACACATCAATAAAAAAGTGGAGGCAGTTCAATTCACTTATGAATTGGAAAGCCAGAAAGGGGAGCTTCCAATGTTAGATCGTAGCGCAAAAGGGAAGGAAGATTGCAAGTTAAAAACTAGTGTTTAAAGGAAACCCACACCTTCAAACCGATATTTGGACTTCCGACCATCCCAACCTAAGTCAGTAAATATAGAATGTTTAAGTAATAGGGCACAAAAACTAAGCACAGTGAATCGACCCTTTTATTGTTTCATCTTTCTGTATTTTATGGTGTCACACTTTCTATCGTTTAAATCGTTACTCTGCCATTTTATTTTTAGTTGGTATTACTATTATTACTACAATTTTGTAATTTATACATATTTTTCTCCGTATAGCACACAGTATTTTGCTACGTAGCTGCTATAACAATCGTTTTATTACTATTATGTAATGGGTATTTTTAATTTTTTTTTGTCGTTTTTGAGTAAATTAGATGCAATATTGTACTGAAATGCTGAAAATTCCTTGCTGTATCATGAGTACTGTTTTTGGAATAAAGCTATTATTATTATTATTATTATTATTATTATTATTATTATTATTAGTAGTAGTAGTAGTAGTAGTAGTAGTAGTAGTAGTAGTAGTACTAAGGAAAATCTAACACAGGAAGTGAGGCCCATAAGACAAGCTTTGAAACTTAATAATTACCCCGATAAATTAGTCAGGAAATATGTAGGGAAATGTAAAAATAAAATAAATAATAATAGTAGTGATAGTGATAATAATATTAATGACGACATGCATGTCAAATATGAGCAGGATAATAACAACACCAACAATAAGGAATCTAAATCATCAGTAGTACTTCCATACAAGGAAGGAACCTCGGAAACCTTATGCAGAATTCTTAACAAGGCAGGAATAAAAGTGGCCGGCATTCAAACCCACAAACTCAATTAGCAACAGGCGTTGTCGGTTAAAGGATCCTGTGAAACCTCTAAAACAAAACAGTTTAGTTTATCTAATACCCTGCAATGATTGTCCGGTAAAATACATACGTCAAAGTAGTAGAACGACACCAGTCAGACTAACGGAGCACAAAAGGCCTCACAAAATCTAGATTAGTGGACCCGAATAAGATAAGAAACCTGGAGAACAGTTCAGCTATAACACTCACTACATGCAATTATACACAACTATACAATAGGATGCATGTAATGTAACAGGGTGGAGGGTGAGATTGATACCGGAGGCTTTACTTATCGAATCAACTGCAAACACGTGTAATGGGAATGATTCAACACCTGTCCAAGACATCTGAGAAATCCTGCTACCCCTACGTCAAATAGGAAAGAATAAAGAAAACTATGAAACTCAAGTTTCGAAGTCGTGTGATTGTGGTGAGAGCAAGCTAGCCAAAAATGGTAGACAGCATTTTACGTCAATGGGTATGTCGCAAATATTGGTGGTGAGAAAATATGAACAACAACCAATCACAGCAGACTTGGTGTAGGCAGATGCAGTTAACATATAGATGATCTGACATTCAAGAAACAGTCACAAAGAGATGCAAAGTCAACGTTCTGTAAGAAACAACCAATCAGAAGACCGTGTTCGTCTGCTAGAACAAGCTATAATAATGTACATGAAATATATGTAATTACGTGTTGAGTTCCTTAATAAACGATCTGTTGCCTGACTCTTGTCTTTTTTCGTTACATTATTACAATTGATATGATTATGAACAATAAATTGTGTTTGAAACATCATCCAGTATGTAATACTGTTTCACTGTGTGATATATCTAATAAACATATTAATATAGAATAGTAATAGAGTTTAAGAGAGAAAAAAGTACGTGATATCCGCTTATGAGGATATTGTCAAATGCTCAGACATTAAATAATGAAAGTACATAATTTTATTTCATGTTTACGATACTCTCCATTTGATCATGGACTAACTTTTTATCGTGAGGCAGATTGATAGGAAGTGGACAAAATTGAAATCAACGTATTAAGTCAATGGCTGCAAAGTTTACGTCGTGGACATGAAATACCCCCATTGGACGACTTATTTAACCTTCGGCTCATTGCCAGCCAATAGTAATAATTTATTCTCTTATGAACTAGCCAAACTGTAATGTGGCTAAGAAAGTATAAATATGATGTATTTTTCTCTAATGAAGGTCCGTTATCAAGCTTCTTAACTTCTCCCGTAACAACTGCATTTATAGAACTGCTGAACACCAGGGATTACTGTATAGCTGTTTTGTAATCAGCAGGGTTCACCACGTTGGGTGTCAGGACAAATACTTCCCGATGACATTCGCTGGCTGTTGCGCAAGAAATCGGAAACTGGCAGAAGTTACAAATCATGGGACACTGCATTCTGTTCAAGTTACAACATAGTCGACGAGCTCACCCTACAACCAGCATTCGGTTATTTGGGGAATCATGGGTGCGCGATGCTGAAGAGTTTGAAACTGGGATGAGAAAGCTTTCCAGTACTTCCTGGTTTTCGATGGTTCTCTAACTGAAGTTAGTTTGTGGCCAAACTTGAAATTAATTAAATACCTGCAAGCCAACATTTCAGTAAGAATTAAAGAACACACAGGAGTGAATCTAGATGCCCGAAGTGTCTTATTTAATGCTTTATTGAGTTACCTGCATCTATAATGTCAACACCATTTTATTTTCAACGCGTTTGCTTTCAGTTTTTCTAAATCGGTCGGAGTATCTTTGCAGTTATCTATTGTCCATTATTATTGTCAATTACACTTAACTCTTCTAACCTGCAAATTCATCAGTGGACCATATCATTCTAACAAGTACTCATTTCTCGGCCAAATTCTTTAGATATCAAGTAAATTCTACTCCATGTACTTTCCGATGAATGAATCTTTGAAGAGCATCATCTCTCCTACAGTGTACAGTGATAACCAAAAAGTTGGAATTTCCGTATAAAACTCATATTCCATCATAAAGTCAGCACGCACAAGAATATTAACATCTTTTTTGAAAGCATCAGAGAAGGGTGGTATTTATTATTTTTAAACTATGTATCATAGGAAGATTTAAACTATTCTGACTAAGATTCTAAAAGTTGTCACCGTCCAAATTTTCAATGGAACCCCATCTAAAATTAAAGAGGTTCTAACCCATATCTAGAAGGACTGCAGATGTAATGAAAATTAACAATAAACCATAAAATGTTTTAAAAAGTAAGTTGCAATGATTATCAGTAAGAAGTATCACGTTGGCGAAAATGACTGACATTACAAGGTCAAAATGACAGAGAGTTGTAGCCAGTAGAGTACATGAATCCGATTGAGAGGTAATTTTAAAATGTACTAGACTGAAAAAAATAATAAAATTAGAGGGGATTTCTCAAAGCCTCACATGTTAATCAATAAATAATCAACAGACATGTTGATATAAATAAACTCAACTAAAAATAAATTAAGTAAAGAGTACAAATCATATAAAAAAACAAAATTTATTGGAAAAAACACAATTATATAACATATTCGCATGAGGACAATCAATCACCTTTAGAAAACAACGGATTTATCGATTGGAAAGAGAATTTTTGAGGTTAGGCCTACCATACTGAAAAAGTAGAAGGATACAAGATTAGCCAAACAATCAAGGTGCAAATTCCCCCCCCCCTGGAACTCTGATAGTACAGTACAGTGTCTTACGGTCACAGGCCAGCCATTATTTTTTCATATTTGCCTGGCTCAGTGAATCGGAAGGCTCAGTGGGCGAATAGGCAGGCGTAGACATACATAACAAAGTGACTACGGTTCTCATTCAGTTCTGTACTGAACAAACTCATATTACCAATCAGTAGTTGACTAGTACAACGTGTATCAAACATTCAGAAGACCTGTCATTCATACATTTATAAAAATGTTTTTAATAGCATGCATACACAACAACTAAGTCAATTATGTGCGCTTCACATCAAACAATCAATAATTTGGATGTATGCATGATTCATGATGACACATGCATCAGTGAGTTTGTAATGAAAAGATGATAAACATCATCTGCATCATTGGTGGTATTGTGACCAAGTTAATCATCACTTTGATTTTTTTTTGTTCGTTTCATTACGCTTTTTTCTAAAGTTTAAACTCATTACACTGGGATGTAAAACAATTTATATGAATGAATTATTAAGACGATTGTACAATCAATCTTCGCGTAAAACTAAGCGATAGAGAACAGAATATTTGAACTAGTAATTTTCATGAAATATGATACATTCGACATTAAATACGCAGTATATACACAAGTCTGCATCAAGATGGATACAATCAGCGAAGAATTTGTACATATTTAGTTAGTGCCGAAGTTATTCACTCTTATAAATTCTATGATAGTTTGAAAATTTCGCCTACGTATTTAAGACAATGAAATATTTGCGGCCTTGCTTAAAATACTCCAGTTATTCAATGATATTCTATGATATATACAGCCTTAGTACCTTCACTAAAATTATCGAATCACAAAATGATAACTCTTTCTTTCTTTTCCGACTTTTACTTTCAACTTATCATAAGGTGTCTTTGATCTATTCCACAATGAACAGACATTTCTATTTTTCTCATCTTGGAATAATATCAGTTAAATAACATTTTACTGATACTTCATGCATTGTGAGTCATATAATCTTCAGTATTTATCGACTCTCAATCCTTTGGAAAAAGTAAAATGAATCCATGCATTCTTGGCAAATAACTTACTAACTTAATTTTTTATACATGCACATGTTTTCTAACACTATTGATTTCATCATAATACCACTATTGACTAGTCACCAGTTTTATTTAAATTCTTTTGAAATTTGTTTTTGATGATCTAATCTGTTAATTGACAAGAAAAAGGCAAAGTAGGTTAAAACTAGCAACAACAACCTTAAAACTGTGACATCATGAATGCAGTGAAAATATGCGATCATATTCACGTATATTACGAGTATACACGTTTATCTCTTTATGCAGGTAACATATATGCCAATAATACACAGACATCTAAATCATCATTTCAAGCAGTTTCACACCAAAGACAAATTAAACCACTTGAGATTCATGCTTTTATATGTACAATAAATATTTTCTGAAAAATAAGGCCTTAAATGTAAATAATTTAAAAGAGTCATATGAAACCAGCGGTATATCTAAGGTACATTAAGTAAGCCAAATTAATATAGCTAATTTAATTTAGATATGATGCAGAAGATTTGAAGCCTAGTTAGATGTTACTGATGCACTTGTGTTCTCTAAGCTTAATGATTCGATTGCAAAGCTTTCATTGTCTTTCTAGGCGACATGTTTAGCGCAGACTCCAACAAGTTACTTAGAGGTATGATTGATTTAAGTTTCTAACTTCGGAAAAATAAGATGTATAAATTCGGAACTGAAGGAGAACATGAACCTCTTCAAAGAAGCATATAAAAACAAAATCTTAATCAAGAGGAGTATCCTGGTCACAAGAATAGTACTTGATGATGCATTACATAACTTTTCCACACACTGTAGAAGTCCCACTTAGCAACAACAACAACAGCAAAAGGCACTATATTGTCATTTCACTTACCTTAGCTACAACAAATCACAATTACTCAGTAAATATGGACCAACTAAAGACAAAGAACTTAGTTAACCGAAATCACTTCTTGAATGGTAAGCTGAGTTAACCTTATATTATCCGAGGATGAATACTACCACCTCTGATTGTGCAGGTTGAAGTAGGCGGTGAGATATTGGAACTCTGAACTGATGATGGGTTAAAAGCCAAGTTCGAAAACCCATCAGGTTATACCTTCACATGCTTACCACCAATGAATATTGGAAACCTACAATAGTTACCATCTACACACAAAGAAAGTGTAAAAACAACTTCCAGGAGTATGTCAAATTTATGCCACTATCTTAAAGTTTAACAATAATAATTTTTTTTTTTTGATTTACAGCTAGATTCCACACTGTATTTTTGGTACAAGTATGGAATTTTCAGCATGGATATCGGTAGCCCAAATTTTGCAGGCCGACCATAGATATCAGATGTGCGTCGGTGCGGGCTCGAACCCTGGACCATGTGCATGGTCGGCGAGAGTCCTAACCACTGTGCCACCGACGCACAACTTTAGCTAAAATAAAAATAGATATACTAGAAAATTCTGTTTCCATATACAATGCGGAAAAAGCAATTAAAACAAAATTGCTACAAAAGAAACACAGTATAAACTAGAGGGGAGTCATAACAAACAAAATACACAATAGTACAATCAAATAGGCACTTGCAAGGTAATCATAATCCACTAGTGTTAGAATACTCTATAGAAAATACAAACATGATCTAGTCGGAGCGAAATGTTGTTTTCTTCTTTCCTCAAAATGGAATTGCTGAAGGCATAATAATTATAGGCTAAAATAAAATTCCTATTATACCATTTATAGGCATTCAGAGAAGAACAGCACCACTTAACTGTTGCCTGTGAACAATGAAGTATTATGTATATAGGATTATATAGGTAGTGTTTCACAAAAACCCTAGATAACAAAAATAACACACTGTAATCAAATGAAATTCAAGAAAAATAATAACAAATAAATAATAATAATAATAATAATAATAATGAAAATAACTTTTAAGAAATCACTGTAAATAAATAAATAAATTATCAGTATACATTGGAGCATCTATAAGATAAAATGTATATATCTTACAGAGTAAGTGTTTAGAAGAAAAAGAAAGAAATACGCCTAGAAAGCATATCCAATTGATGATCAGTTGGCAAGAGAATTAAAAAAGAAGTAATATGTTGATTATTTTCGATCCCGTCGTCGTCGAACATCAACAGCAGTAGATACTGGACTAATTTTAGCTTTAATAGTCACCGTAGGAGAAATAATTAACACTCCATCATTAGAACTTTTGCCATTATTATTATCAGTATTGGGGAGTGTCGACGAATCCACTTGATAATTTGGTCGAATTTTAACAACTCTATCAGTAGTATACTTTGAGAAAGATGGATCATACAATTCACGACTAAGACGAACTGTATCATCGTCATCATTTGCACCATCATCATTATAATCATCACAGTTTAAGTAATATGTACGTGACGTGAAATCATGAAATACATCGCTGACTGTTTCATCGTTCAACGCCATATCAGAGTTCTATGTATTAGGGACAAAAAAAGAACAGAAAGATGATAAAATCATTAATATGTGGGTAAATTGAAACTAACATTTTAAAAAAAATAAAAGTTACACGTCATTATGATAAAGTCTTCGAAGCTAGAACAGGTGAGTTCAGTCATTGCAATAACTAGTGGAAAATTCTGCCATAGTGGTAAGCCCTTACGATCGAACATAATCAGAGTATACAGAGATTACTGTAACAAAGTTTAGTGTTTACCTACCACCTCTTCGAAAACTTCCTACCATATAAAACCATCAGATGGTTTCAGTCCTGAAACACAATCTTCAAAAGTTGAAAACACATTAACATAACGGAGTTAAACAATAAAATTTCATTAACTGAAACCCACTGAATGACTGCAAAATATAAGATTCAGACGCCAACCCACACCAACATATATATATATATATATATATATATGTATTGCGTCGGTGGCTTGGAGGTAGAATGCTCATCAACCACATATGTGGTCCGGGGTTCGATCTCCGGCCAATGCACTGCTTTACCTCGCTAAGCCAGTTATAAGACCGGCAAAGATTGGGCATAAGGCTAGCAACCCCATCCCGTAAAAATAAACACCACTGCTACCGAAACTTCGAAGGTCTACGCTGAATCCCTATATCTCACTGGGAACGTAAAGGTATATATATATATATATATATATATATATATATATGAGGCCATTATGCTCAACAGTAGCGTTCATGTCCATGTGAGTGGTGACAAACGCCTGGTCCCCCTTAACCCCACAGACAGAGATTTCAAGTCTATAACCCACTGGCCAAAAAAACTAATTATTATTCTCATGAGTCTCGGCTACACACAGGCGAGCACCATCGTGAAAGGATAGGAAATGATTATAAGGTGGTACTATTTGATAAAAAATAAGAATACAAACAAAAGTTTTAAATTGCCACAAAGCAAAAGAAAACAGAAAATACAAATGGGAAAATGTAATATAAAGACCAGGATAAGGCTCGGATGTTTCGGATCTATTACGATGGAATTAAAATTCAGCCATGCATCTACTTAAATTTCTTCTAAAACGATGTAACGTGATGCAACCAAATTCTCTTTTCACTCCAATCAAGTAAGAAACTAAAGTTGAGTGGATCAATTTTCTAAGTCATGTCCTCTGGAGTCCACAATTTCAGATGATTTTAAGGACCTCAGTCAAAAAATACACCTCGTTACGCGATTCAAACGAAGAATTAATGACTCCATAGTCGTAAAACATCATGGTCTTTCGCTTCCTTACAAAACCATCCCACTTTGAAAGGCAAAAACCAATAAGGTAAGCGATGAGTAGAAACGTACAATACATGTTCGCCATAACGGACTCATTAACATGAAGCAATTTGGTCACCTAACAAACTAACAAGGGGGATATGACTTCCAAGATAAGTGATGCATCGATGCATTCAATCATTTCATTCTCTATAGAAAGACAGCTTACTGTTCTAGACCAGCCCTTCGGTAGGAAATTACGTTCGGAAGGTAGGAAACGAATTTTAAACATTTTCATATAGTGGATCAGAGCGTTCGAAAACTGCATTTTATCATCATATCTGTCCAATAGCATTATATTATCTTTTTTCAGTAGATATATGTAGACAGGTATCTACAGTTACAGGACTTAGTATTTGTCTAAACACACGTCCTATTTACAGTCTTTGAATATTTTTCATTCGAATTACTATTATTACAGAAGTGCGAATGAAAGCATTATTGAGCACAGTTCTTCATGGCGAAATTAAAACTAACCATGTTTCTTCTATGCTACAGAGTGACTGTTGAAGAAACCACACGCTTTATAATGTAATTTCCATCAGAAATTGTTAGGAACTAAAAATATTAAACTGAATAACGGGAGAGCGGACCAATACATCTGCGATTCGCAGGAGACTGACAGACTAACATGGTATTCGCAGCCAAATACATAAGTTAACAGCCCTTAAACTCCCTATTAATACCTGTTAACTTTGCCACCAAGAAAAAGCCGCTAATATCCATCTAGTGACAGATCAAAATTGAGAACTTGAAATACATAATCTCTAATTTTGTCGATGAAGATTAACCCAACATATTTAAAATCACACAAAGGCACCTATGCACTGTTTCGCTTCTTGTCAACAAAAGTAATATCAGAAATAGTCACACAACTTAGATCTTTCCACACTAACCAATACTTGAAAGTTACCACACTTTAAACAGGCTATAAAACGAAATGGACAGAAAGAAAAGTGATATTAAATCGGACAATAAATGAAAATGCAGAAAGATCAATAAATGAAAATAAGCACACAAAAAACTCCCTTAATTTAGAAGACAACACAGGGTACATACCGATTCTGTGATCGACCCGATACCATGTTCACACAGTCGATAATAATCGTAATAACAGTTTTTGTTTTAATTACTTCTTTTACTATTCTCACTACTACTATTATTATTATTATTATTTTTACTCAGTACTAATTCACACTACGAGAAACATAACCGGCACTTTACAAATAATCAATAGAATGGCGACATCACACATTTATTTGCACAAACCTATACAAAGAAAACTGAATGAAATTGAGGATAACTCAAAATGGTTTTGTGTGAATTTAGTAAAATCAGAAGCTAAATACGATCTCTTAGCAATTATATGCTGTCACCTGATCTTATCAGTGAATATTTATATTTGAATATATTCCTGAGAAATAAAATACCAATAATTCTAAACATTGTAGTATAGAGTATTTATTTTATTTATTTGAAAAAAAAACACAAACTTAGTAGATTATGGGCACTGAGACGTACTGCATGCATGTTTACCAAGGAGAGTCGGAAAATCCTGATTCCAAAGGTATGGTGTGCACGAACCCCAGAATCCAAAAGGACAGAAAAGAGAATGAAACTGTTTCGGTCACCAGTAACAAAGGGAACGTATGTACTGACGCTGCTCCACTCCCTTGTAGACCAGACTTCAAGTCTAAGACTTGGCGTTTGGCCCCTTATAACAACCATCTGTTTCGGTCTGGGCATCAAAGCAGTATCTTAGCCCAGTGTAAATATAAAGTATATGACCACCATTAGATATTACAGATAACATGTTAAGTTTCTGATAAATGGTGTTAGTTAAACAGGCAGATATACGCTGTTGTTTGGGTTTTCATGGGTACAGTTATCTACATTTGAGGATTGTGACCGACACGGAAGTGTCAGTTAAACAATAATTTCCTTTAAGTTTCGAAAGTGTTAACTTTCAATGTTTTTTCACTAATTTTAGATTTTTCACGTACAATAGTAACATTATTTATTTCCTCTGTATTGAAAAGTTAGTTTATCTTTTTCGACCAGTAAATTGCGTTTAAGATCAACCTTGTCAACTATGCATTTCATTCATACAAATATAACGCTAAATGCAAGCCATAAAAATCTCTGTTATGACTTTTCACAGTCATAATACTATTTAGAAATTCCCTTATCAGCTTACCAACCAGATACTTTAGTGGCACCAGGTGGAATACAGTACCTAGATGACGTAACTAATCACTTATTAACACTGATACAAATTCCGATCAAGTGAATTCATCAATGTTTTCAAACAAGTGACTCCTTATTCTTAAAGTGGAGCCTTAAGTTGGCAGATTAATTCTGCAGTTATTTCCTTCGTATGATGAAAATGTACACAGCAACTGTTCCGTTAAACATCTCAGTAGTATTGACCTACAAAACACAGAATAAATAGTAGAGTTATTGGTGACCTAGTTTGTTCATATGCTTCCAACTACCACATTAGTAGGATGATAAACCCGTAGTAGACCGTTAAGCTATTTTGAAAATAAAACAAGTCCTTTTTTTAAAATTACTACAATTGATTTCAAAACTCAAAATCAAAAAGTTATTTGCAATAATTACCTTGGCAGTATCATTTAAGCGTTGTAATCGCAACAGTGTTACAATATCAGCATTGGCTAATTCTAACGCAAAATCCAGTGGTAATTTTCCATCATCATCTGAAATCATCTGATTGGCTCGACGTCGTAATAGCAGACAAACTAGATGCACTCGGCCAAAACGACAGGCATGATGAAGTGCCGTCCGACCATGATCATCTTTTACATCAATCTAATAAGCAGCGATAAAGAATGAAAAACAATATAAAAGTATTCTTAAAGACGACAGTTTATAAAATCCAGTGATCCATTGTAATGAAAATTCAGTTAAATTTGAAAGCTGATTTTTGTATATGACTAACTGACTGGTTTCAACGTAGAACTTTGCACCAATATACAGCAGTTCGAATCGCCACACTCCATGTATCACAAGAGAAGAAAGTAAGAATAAATGCAAAATAAAGACAGTAAACAGAGATATAAGGCAAAAAGAATAGTAAAATTGAAGAACTATATAGTCTCATTGGATATTATAATTCACAAGGAGTGGATGCACCTGTGCTATTGAGAACGATTTTGCGCCATATCAGCATACTGTCTCAAAAATATTCGGAATTACAAACTGAAAATAAAAAACAGTGTAAATTCCTATCGTTAAAATCCACTTGATAAATGCTGAGTGAGCTAACTTTCTGAATTGGCTAACATTACGGAAACAAAAAAGCAAGAGATAAAGTGGTACCATCAAAACAAGAAACTAGTCTGCCCTGGATGTCAAAATGTCTGTATGGCTTGTGAGTTCTTACACTTTATTGGAAAGCTGCATTCATCAACAGTAAGGGCTTATGACTACTATATATGGTTTACTAAATCAAATAAATAACTTTCGAATATTCACTCTAGTTCTTGATCCTCCTTCTGTGAATTTCGAATGGACTACGCAAATACATCAAGAGTTGCCCATGGAACTGGCACATAAGTTGGGTTGAAAAGTTATATCAAATGCTGTTATTTGATAAGTGAAATATAAGGAGTGCATTTTATTCATATAAAAAGTGAAAAAATATAACAAGTGACCGGAACACACATACACACATCAGCTTCTTCAACTTACATCTGCTCCATTTAATAGAAGAAATTCACTAGCTGCTATAGAACCAATGCGTGATGCTAATATCAACGCCGGATAACTGACAGATGATTCACCAAGTTTCATTTTTACCTCTGGAGTAGCACCTCCAGCTAGACCGGATAAAATAAGAAGTGGACAACCAAGACGAGCACCAAAACAAACTAAATTCTCCGCAGCCTTTTTCTGTTCAGCAGAGTGAAATAGTGTCTTCGATCGACTTTTTGTGTTCAACTTGTGCTTTTCATACAGAGTCTTGATGACATTTATTAATTGATCTAAAGTAAAAAATTTCCAAAACATTAATTTTTTTAAGACCAGTTAAAACTATAAAATGTATTTAATTAATCACTAGTTGTGTTTAACGTGATGAATACTGTGTACCAATAGTCAGTCAACAATAAAGAGAAATTCCACAGCACCATGAAATAACTGGAGCGGAAGAATGGTAAGCACTTTGGTGATAAATCATTTTGTTAAGGTGTAACTGCCAGCAGTTTTCGCTTTCAGTTAGTTTATTTGATATAAACCGATTAGTAAAGCAAACTCAACAGTGGGATATTCGCTACAAAAGCTGACGAAGAATATGAACCTCAGTCTTCATGCGATTATGTATGTGTAATGCTGAAAAAGACAAAAATGCAGGAAAAAATGGCTGCCCACTGTTAACTGGTTTTCAGTGACTTTTAAACCAACATTAGTCCACGATGAAAAGCATTTTGAAACTTTACTAAACACTTGAAATGATCAGCGCTTACCTAGAATAGCATAACGATATGCATTGTGTCGATTTAATTTTTTATCTAAGCTATTCGATTCTGGGATTGATGCCAATGAAGACGACGAAACAGGATGACAGATAAGTTCAGGAAAATTATAACGTGTCTCAGCACGTGCTTGAATCCAATTATCGTACAACTGTTTAATCCACCGGGTAGCTTCTGTAGAATCAGATGCTCCTCTACTAGGTATTGGGAGACGAGCAAACTTCAAACGAACCCATTTAGCTTCAATAAAGGCTTTGCGTTGTTCGAATGGTGTTGTCGTTGATATACGGGGAAACTCTGATGCAGTATAAATATTCCGATTCGCTTCAAAAATCTCATTCACAAATTTATTGCCTAAATTTAGCATAACGTGTAATAATTCCGGTTGCCAGTTATCCAAAGTTAGTGATCGAACCTGTAGAAAATACGAAATAAAACTAGAGTTGAAATGAGGATACTTTTAGTATAATTTAGTTTTCTATTTTAGCTATAGCTAACTTACATAATGGTACTTTAGCACGTGCTGTTGTTCAAATATTTCAAGTGATACTGAAAGTAAAGTCTAACTGTTAAGTTACGACTGATGAGAGCGACAAGTTCCTATGTCAGGGGGAATCTTATACTATTTTGGAGAAATATTGCAAAAGAGAAGTCTACAGTAAGGCCTGAACGAGCTTATATAGAAAAAAAGAGAAAAATAATGTATATGATGCAAAAATTATTCCCCTTCAGGTTACCACGTTGCAGATATCACTACCTAGTTGTTAAAGTTGATAAACGTCATATCTGTATATCAAGAAGAATGTAAAAAGAAAGGCACCTGAAGATAACCGATAGAATCGAATGTCCTGGAATGTCATTAGATAAAAGGAAAGAGTTAATAAACAAAAATGAAATTATAACTATGACTAAGAATGCATTTTCACCACTGCCATTGATTTCGGGACATAACATCTAAAGTTTCTAACCACAGGTTTTGGAGTCACAAGTACTTTGACAAGGTAACCTACACTATTCAAATTGACAGTAATTGACTTCATCGATTAGTAGTAATACGCTTTAGTTTGATTGTCCTTCTCTTTCTCACAACTTGACGCACAACATTAAGGTGGACAGTGAGCAGGCATATGTAACTTCTCCGGTGACTGGGGTATACATCTCGTACATTGCTTTCAACACCTAATCTCTAAACAACTTAGTAGACAATTCAACCTAGTGTAGTCAAAGTCATGAAGGCAGGGTCAGTCAAATGCTTGAAGTTCTTTTCTTTCAATGGTCACGCTTTAAAAGCAAAAAAGGGGAAAGAGTAGAAATATCAAAACTAATTAGATGTTGATAAGTGAAGTCAAGAATTGACCTTACAGTGATTTATTTCCAGCTAGCTTACGCGGGATTCCAAATGTTGACTCTTATGGGACATAACGGTGGAGTCTGTACTTTCTCACCTAAAATAACTTTAACTTCATGGGTTGTTGGTTCATCTTACTTCGGTCACCATTAAGTTTTATTCAACCCACTTTTACTGTATCGTCCATACCTTTCTTAGTTTAAGTTAGCGGCCGTAAGCAACCAGTAAAAATATGAGTTACGTTCAGAACATTTACCTATTTATGATGAAATAAGCTTGAAATCAACACATTTCTAGACATAAACTACCAACATTCCACTCTAATTCAATAAAAAAATTGCACACAAAAAGGGATTGGGGTAACCAGTGGGTTCTTTATTTGGACCTTTGCTGGCGTGTTACTTCACTTCTCATCTAGAAAATGTCACACTGAAATGAAGGATTGTTAGTTTCTACCCAAACCAGATGTATTCGGATGACACATTCACCGTATGTCTGGAAAATATTTTGCAACTATATATGAACTTAGTAAGTGCAACCATGCGATTAATTTCATGTTGGAATCCGATGACTCACTTTTTTGCATACCACACTAACAGAGACCTGGAGGATTCTCTCTAAAGATGAATCTACAGAAAAACGACAATGTATCCAGTAAGTCCCGACTAACTTTACAATAGTTATGAGAAGCGGATTCAAAATCAAACACATGCTACTTATTTTTCTGATATGTGCTTTATATGTTTGTTAATCCGACATCCGAAGCATTTTCGTACTTTCCAATAAATAATTGGATCCTGAAGGAGAAGAAGAAAACAACGACAAATTCTTCTTCAGCACATGCTTGGATGTACCACAATCAAGTTATACTCTTGGTAAGCAAAATGGAGAATGTCCATCCTATAAAGACGCGAATAATCCTGTCAACTGCTATCATATAATAAAACGCTCTATTTAAACTTCCCTCTCTCTCTCTGCATAGCAGGTGGTGTAGTGTAATATTTCAGTATCGGGTACACACATGTTATACTATCTAAGAGAACAGTATGAAAAATTATCCGTCTCAAGCGTAATAAATCGAATTAGCAAACAGCTGTGGGAGTCAAAAAGGGAAAGGTGAAATAGAAGTGTCAACTTCTGTTAAAAGACTATGAGAAAGAAGACGGAAATGGAACAATATAAGATTATAAAACCATTTGTCGCAACTAACATGCTACCATTTTTTCACTTAGTTGAAGTCAAACGGTCCATGTCCTCGAACACTTAACAAATCGCAACACATACAAATGCTATTCGACTTCATTAATAAGCATCATGACTCTCGATTTCGTCATGAGTTCTTACTTTGGCTTTGGAAATTCATTCTAAAGGCAGTCATCGGACTAAGAGATGAAACAATATATCTGTTGCTTATAACAGAAAGGAAACATTGGCATTACTGTGTTCGACTATAAGCTATGTTTTTGAGGATTCAGCCACGAGATCGACATTCCGTCAAATGTTCTGGAACAACGGTTAGTAACCTCTGACAAATGACTGTTTTCGAATTATAGGGCTGAAACCCACTCGTCAAACATCGAGTCGCACACTTGTTTTCTAAAGAAATAAGTACTCCTAAAGCGGTTTGTGAAAGTGAACATTTCAAAAAATAAGAAGATAAGTATCATTATACACCAACTAACCTTAGAGATATGAACACCTAGACTTCTGTGAACTGCAGCACATAGAGTACACAGCGTCACACCTAAATTAATGCTAGCCCATTTCGCATCTCCATCACCACAATCAGCACAAAAACGATTTCCAGCTAAATCAGGTTCACGCCATAATAAAACCCCACTCTTGTTTTTTAGCGCATCATAGTCTGGAAGTGACGACTGAGAGGCTTGTGCGCAAGGATCATTCGTGCGACTAGTAAGGAAACCAGATGCGGAGCTAACTGAAGGACTATTGGAAAAGTCTAAGCTGATTTGTGTTGGACTACGTGAACGTGATAAATTAAGTGAATCGTTAGTGATACGCTGCAAATCAGTCTGGCAGAGATCATGGAAACCAGAGCGCAGAGTATTCACCCACAGATTTAATTCATCAGCACTACCAGCCTGTAAATAATATGTTTTATGCCCTGAAGATACTAGTTCAAAGACAAAACGACGATCCGTAATATGATGTAATAAATTCATTTGTTTGTCTCCAGTTGTCAGCCGTTTATTTGGTTGAACAACGCGAGCTGTACAAAACCTAAGGTTGTTCTCCAAAATAATCCACTGTGGAGCAGCTTGACTAGTCAATTGCGTTAGGAAATTATTTTCAGGTTGAGTATTGACTGATGGTCCGTTTGTTAATCGATTGGCAGACGATGTTGACATATTCACTTTCTGATTAAGCTCTGTCAATACAGCGTCACTTGCAGACTGAAGATCTGTAGACGTTAACCCAGGAAAGCGCTTACAGTACATTAACTGATTATCATTTACACGGAACCAACGACGAACCCATGTACGCCAACCTTTCTTTCCACTCCTCTTGAATAAATAACCCTCTAGTCGAGTATTTAAGGAATTATTCAGGTCTGCTGTATCTTTCTTCGTGCCAAATGAAGTTTTAGCTGCTTTAGTATCACTAGAGACATCGACAGCTGATTTCTTTTCAATATTAGCTACTAGATTCTTGAGCTCGCTAACTAACATTGAAGAGGTGAGAGTATTTGTTTTATTAGAAATGTTAAATATTGAATTCACTTGCTCGGAATAAGATTGCTGGACAGACAATGCTAAAATAATCAGTCGTAAATATGAGACAATATAGTTGGGTCCAATAATTTGACGAATATGAGATAGATAAAGTGTTGCCGAGGTCTGATAGACTTCCTGAGCTTTTTTGACTTGATTGTCAAATGTGTGTAAATCTACGGACCGAACAGGATTCGCAGAAGCGGCACGATTTATAGCACTTTCTAAGTTTTCATGAGCACTTTGAAAGTTTGACCGAAGATCGTGCAGTTTGTTTAGGTTATCATTACTTTTTGTCAAAATGTTTTCAATATCTGATATTTTTGTTGCTAACTTTCTAGTTTTTTTAGCAAATAGATTCATAAGGTTAGCAGCATGATTAAGTATCTTTTCCGCATTAGACTGATCCCATTCACTGGTCAGGTTTGTATTGGAGGTCCATAACTGTTTTTGATCGAAACCCAAACCAATACATTTAGCCAATTTGAAGAGAGAAGAGGAAAATGCCTCACCAGTCTGCAAAAAAACAAACAAACCAAAACATATATGAATAGTATTAAGAAACAACACTTGGTAGCTGTAGTTTCTTATGTTCATGGAAATGACAAGGGAAATGAATGATTCAAGAACAGCTACCAACACAAATCGTAAGTGATCTTAAGACTAGCAGAACCATTAAACTAAATAGGATAGTGTAATTAAATCTTTATTTGAATATTACAGTTGGTTGTTGTGACTCCTGAGTTTAGACCATTGACAAATGGCGAAGATGTATTGATGATTAAGACGTACGCGCGTCACTATATGCCCCCATGAACGACTTGGCACGACCAATGAAGCATAGACTTCCGTCTTTCTCTCGAAACGCCCTTATATGGTCGCGCGTTCATAGTCTGTGACAGGTAGTCCCTATTCACTGCCTCCGTGCAGCGAGTATTTCTCATGAGAGTGAAAAAGCAAATGCGAGTGGGTGGCACTTACAACTAGACTGGTGGACATGCAGGTCTAACAAGGGGAGACAGAAAATCCTGATTCCAAATCTATGGTGTGCATGAACCCCAGAATCCAAAAAGACAGAAAAGAGTATGAAACTGTTTCGGTCACCAGTGACAATAGGAACGTAGCTACTGACTCTGCTCCACTGCCCTTTAGATTAGAATTCAAGTTGAAGGCTTGGGGTTTGGCCCCTTGAGACAACTACCCGCTTCGATCTCAGCATCCGGGTATAATATCTCAACCTTCTCACCAACTATGAGATTTTGGGTGGAGAACTTCTTGCTGCCCATAATGTATCAAGTTACTTTTAATAATTTGACTTTACGCCAATTTTTAGCATAACTAGCTCTCCTACGACAACATATATGGGTGAAATATTTCTTCAGACATTACTATATTAGCTAGCTACCCAAATTACAGCAGAAAGAACGGTTTTCAGTCGTGACTTGATGACTCCAAGCCAACAATTCAAATACATAGGCAACATCGTCAACTTTACGCAGTTATTCCAATAAATGACCTACATAAAGGCAATATTACTGACCAAAAGTTTTTTGAGTCCTTCGAACTTTGTACATAAAATCCTTATAAAAACAGCATGGGACAACCTAGTAAATCTGTTAGTTTTAGCAGCCTTGAGTCGAAATAAACTCAACAGTGAAAGCAAATGCAAGTTTATATATTTGGAAGTGAGCCGCATCAACGATGTATGGGGCGAAAACAGCATCTGGCTACTAGGACACTGCAGGTGGAACGACAGCCACACCTGAAATATAATAATCAGATGAAAAACGCTTGAGCGGGTAAGCTACATAAGACCTTAAGGATCTGGTACTTGATTGTGAGGCTAAAACTGACATGTAAAATAAACACAATACCAATGGTAAAACAATAGAGAATTCACAGTAAAATACTAGAATCAGATTTCAGGTGAATCACAAACCGACAAATCAAAGATAAAATACTTACATTAACCGACTGACTACAAATTTCTTGAATGAGGTTATAATAAGCTCGAATCCGACAAACTATGAGCTCAGCATGAGCGAGAGTTTGATGCAGCTCAGGTCTATCGGAAAATGTTTCAAACTGATTCAATGGACAAGACACGTCGTCAAAAGAGTTTGGAATATCTTTAAAGTACTGGACAAAATCCACACCAGCTGACATTTGTGCCAACAGAAGACGGTTCCAAGACAAAGTGATGTGCAGATGGTGTATCTGATGTAAAAATGTTGATAAAATTAAAACAAGAAAATAAGGCAAAATGACGCTAGGTCACTCTATGAGTGTCTAAAATTTTTCATCTAAATGGTTGACAAACAACTGTATCGTGAGGACAAAATTTTACATCTTATACCACCTAAATATGAAGAAATAACTGACTGTTCGCCTTTTTGGGGGGAAGAGGGGAGTAGCCACAGGCTATTTGAACTCAGATGGTACAATGACACATGGACACTAACTCCTGCCGATTCGCCATATATTCACCAGTGCGTTTCTGCAACTGTGTTGGACAGCTTTGATTTAATAAAAAATATCCTAATCGCAACGAGTTAGTGCAACGCTCATAAACCATTTTAACTGTCTATCACCTAACACCTGTTTAACGCTGGAAAAGTCACCCGGGTATTAAATTCGACCGCTACTAAAATAGAGCTGATTTGCTTAATACGCTAGCATCTAGATATTACATACAATTACAGCTTTTGAACTACCCAAATAAGGTGCTAAAACTTTCAGTCATCACTTAATGCAACCCACGAGCTGAACGAGATATAGTTTAGATGCTCAAATGGTCTCAATGAACTCCTCCTGGAAAACAGTGCGTAGAGGAGTGCCACAAGGCACGGTACTCAAGCCTCTCATTTATTTTGCACATCAATGAGTTATTTGTTCTCACCGGCTCCCCATTGATCCTACACGTAAATGATTTAAAAATCCAGAGAGGGCTGAAGGGCAACAGTGATACGCTCACGTTGCCAAAGGACTTCAACAAATTGTCAGAGTGGTCCAGAGAATGGATGCTCCCGATCAATGTAGAGGAATGTACAACCATGCGCATTGTACACGCAAGCAACAGCCCCTACGAACTAGAGAAAATAAAACTCCCATCAGTCCAGACGTTTGGTTTCATAATAAGTCACTACGTAAAAACTACAGCACACTGCCACGCGGTGGCTGCGCGTAGTTTCAGATCCTTATGGGCAATTCGCAGAGCCTTCACTAGAATCACCAGAGATATATTCACCTCCTTATACATATCTCTGGTGAGGTCAAGACTGGAAAACTGTATCCAGGCGGCCAGTCCTTTCCAAAGGGAACTCACATATTCTAGAAAGGGTTCAAAGAAAGGCGACACGTATGATATCTGGCATGTCTAATTTATCATACGAGGAGAGACTAGACAGTTTAAATCTCTTCTCCCTATCATAATGTAGAGAGATTTAATTACAATGTTTAAAATTTTAAATAATGACTACGCACCTGATCTACTTTCCTTTTCCCTTCCCACCATGTCGCAACACCTCAGAGAATATAGCAAGAGAGTTTAAATGCCAAGGAGAAGCCATATTGCTGTGGAGTACTGGTTCTCACATCGAGTCATAAACTACCGGAACCGACTCCCGAAGGACGTGGTGTCTGTAACCTCAAATGATTGGTTTAAGGATTTCAACAAGCAGAAATTTACTAGAAAACAATTGACATAGGCTCCAAGCTTTCTATCCTCAATCAATGAATCTGAATCTGGACAATGACCTGAGGTAGAATATGTGGGAAATGCGTAGTAACAGGCTTAACCCCCCATGAGTTACTTTCACATCACAAAAATACTGATTAATAAGCGTACATAAATCAAAAGTCATTGGGGAAGTAGACATGCTCAAGATAATACCTTCTGGAAGCCGAACAAACTTATACAGTGAACTACATACTCCATATAAAATTTGCATATAATGTAGGATATATACGATATGTGGTACACAAAGACGCATATTTTTTCGTACACGAGGAATTCTCCAATGAAAAGTCTATAAACTGGAAACCAGTTTCAAATAGTAAATTCAGCAAGGCAACATGAAAGTGGAGTAAATAAGACTATTTTCTCTCATCATATGCTGAGATGCTGTCTGCAAATCACTATTGTGCATAAGAAACAAACCTCAGAAATTTATGAAAAACTCCGTATTACATACAATGTGTAAAGTGTTCTCTTCTGACTATTACAACTATACAGACATTTCAAGGTCAGATTGTATCGAACACTTTTGAAAATGTGCTCGGAGAGAGAAGCTTTAAACGTCGACAGGATATAACTGTATGATGGAAATCCCTTCTCTTGTGCTCCTGAGATATAACATGTTAGATTTCAATATATTTTGCTCACATTTTGGTAAATAAACGTAAGAGGCGGTCCTGATGATGAACGCTGTGAGCTCAGGTACACATCTACCTGATAAGGTACATCATGCACTTAGGTTTTATTATAAAGGCAGTCAGCAAACGTATTAATGTATAGGAAAGAAATGCAGACCATTCAGGCACCGCACAACTCAGGAAAAATAGCCGAACCTTTCAAAAGTAGGTTGATGAACTCCTAAACAGACTATCCGAAAATAATATACTTAGACGGCATTGCCTACGAAAATACTAAGTGGTATGTGAACTGTTTAGCATGCATTTTGCCAGACTATACACCATAGAGAACAATAAGTTCATGGATTTTTCACGTAAAACAGACTAATGTTCAAGTGACATACTTTTCACCGCACAAGAGATCAATAAGGCTGTCGCAAATCTTAGGTTTAGTAACACTATTGGTCCAGACGGTATATCTTCCATTCCGCTGAAAAACGGTGGTAATTGCGTGAATTTACTCTTACTCAAGTTATACTCAATTTCACTAAGCAATGGGATGCACTCTACCTGCTGGAAGAAGACTTATACTGTACCTATCCATAAAAACGGGCCTGTAGCCTATATCAACGACTACCGCCCCATCAACATCACGTCTGTAGTTTCACATGTAATGGAAAAGATAGTAAAGACTCAAGTCATTCAGTACTTGCTGTGAAATGACCTACTATCCTCATCCCAATACGGTTTCCTAAGTAGAATGTCGTGAATTACTTGCCACTTAGATTATTTTCACTACATTACACAATGCATGGATAACGGGCGTTTGGTAACAAAATTATTCCTCGACGTTAGCAAGGCCTTCGATAAAGTCCCACATATCAGACTCCTAACAAAACTCCAATGCTACGGAATAACCGGAAAACATCTCAAATGGATAAATTCTGTTTTCAAAAAAAGAGTAGTTAGTCAAAATAAACCACCAGCTGTCTTCATCAAAGCCGATAACTAGCGGTGTAATACAGTGTGGCGTTCTTGGCCCTATTCTATTTCTCTTATTTATAAATGACATAGTCTCTGTGATCAAGTATGGAAAGCCATACCTATTTCCAGATGATCTCAAGATAGTATATGATTATGGGTGTGGTGATATGAGCGTCGAAAGCGGGATCCAACAGGACTTAAACAATCTAGGCGTTTGGAGCGAAAAGTGGCAACCGAATTTCAACCCAGACAAGTGCGGTATAACACACCTTGGACGCTTGAAACCGGGAATGTGCCTATATATGTACGCTAAGCTCCTCTCAAAACTAAACACAGTCACAGATCTCGGGATAACATACTCAGATTTATCCTTTTCCGATCATGCAAATAAGGTTGTATCTGACTGTAAACGACTTACTGGCTTTGTACTGCGTAACTTCTACACCCAAGAAGCAAGATTAGCTATGTGTAGGACATGCATCTGCCCCACACTTGAATATTGTGCTCTCCTATTTAGTAACCTCAGGTCTGCAGATGGAAAAAAATCGAAAGTGTCCGGAGATTCCTCACGAAACGCATAATAGGGCTTGATCAACAAGTAGAATATGTTGACAGGTGTGTGCGTCTGAAATTAGAACCTCTGCGTTTAAGGAGAGTGAAGTGCAATTTGCTTCTACCCTTCAAAGTCATTAGGAAGCACTGCTACATTAGCCCATCGATAACGTGGGAAAACATCAAATCATATCAGCTGCGAAACCACGACCACCTTGTCAAGGTGGCTACCCACAGAGAATCCATTAAGGCAAACTATTTAACCATTAAATATTGATCTCTTTGGAACCAACTATTATCTGAAATTAGATGTTATGAAAATTCTGATGAGTTCAAAGGGAGACAAGAAAGACACATGGTCATTTTCATGCTAGCTCGTCTAAAAGACCACAACTGTTGGTGAATCGGAAATGGAAAACCAGTCCAGTTGTCAATCACCTCTCAAAAACCGTTATACCCAGCTCTTGATACGCCGGGCCTCTCGCTGTCCCTAGAAGCCTTTCAGAAAGGCTTAGTACTAACGGAAGCAAAAACCAAACACCGATTGGCCACTCGAGAATTCTTTATTCTAACACTAACATGTGAGCATAATAATAATATATTCTGATTTTGTACATAAGGGACGCCAGTTTACAGGCATCATCAATATGATAAATTACATATACGATTATCAATCATACTTAATAATAATGTTTTAATGAAATACATATGTCTTCCTACCTGTATAGGACACACCAAATGTACAGGCATGGATAAGCATTATTTAAATTTCATAAATTTGGTGTATGGTTCAACTACAGACACCACTACTGGAGAAGGTGTGGAAAGAGGGCAAAGTACCCGAGGATTGGAAGAACAGTTACTTATTCAAACTTCCAAAGAAAGGAGACTTAAGTCAATGTAAAAACTGGCGGGGAATTATGCTTCTGTCCATTCCAAGCAAGATACTAAGTCGCATCATCCTGGAGAGAATCAAACAAGCCCTAGATGAAAAACTTCGTCCGGAACAGGCTGGATTCAGGAGAAACAAATCATGTATTGATCAAATCGCCACTCTACGGATCATCATTGAACAAAGCTTGGAATGGCAGTCACCTCTCTATCTCAACTTCATCGACTTTGAAAAGGCCTTCGACAGCGTCGATCGAGAGGTCATTTGGAAACTACTTCGCTACTACGGGGTCCCATCGACAATTATACACCTCATCCAACAGTTATACGACAATGCTGCATGCCAAGTAATCCACAACGGGAAACTTACGGAAGCCTTCGAAGTGAGGACGGGAGTGAGGCAAGGCTGTCTACTATCACCAATGATCTTCCTGATTGCAATCGATTGGATAATGCGACAGACAACGGCAACCAACGAGGGAACAGGCATAAAATGGACTGACACAAAAGACTTGGAGGATCTGGATTTCGCCGATGATATATGTCTGATTTCCCATAAACTGGAAGATATGCAAATGAAAAGTAACAAGTTGGCAGAAGAAGCATCAAAGATAGGACTTCACGTGAACATAGATAAAACAGAGATGATGAAGATTCCTTGCCAACATCAACAGCAACAACAGACCACAATAAGCATAAATGGGAAGAACCTGAAAGAAACAACCTCCTTCACCTACCTGGGAAGCATCGTCTCAACTACAGGCGGAACTGACGAGGACATCAAAGTCAGAATCGGAAAAGCAAGACAAGCTTTCATTACTCTCAAATCTGTGTGGAGGTCAACAGCATTCAGCATCAAAAATAAGATCCGGATTTTCAACTCCAATGTGAAGTCAGTGCTACTATACGGATCAGAGACTTGGCGAGTCATAAAGAGCATCTCAAACAAACTTCAAACCTTCATTAACAGCTGTCTCCGCTCAATACTCAAGATCAGATGGCCAGAAAAGATCAGCAACAGGGATCTCTGGGAGCGAACCAATCAGGAACCGATTGTGAAACAAATAGGCAGAAAGAAATGGAGATGGATTGGGCATACGCTGAGGAAACCAACAAGTGACATCACTAGACAAGCCCTCGAGTGGAACCCGAAAGGGAGGCGGCGAGTTGGTCGTCCAAGGGTGACTTGGAGGAGGTCATGTGAAGAGGAGATGAAAGCATGTGGGCAGACCTGGAGCAGGGTGAAAAAGTTGTCAAAAAACCGAAGTAAATGGAGGTGCGCAGCTGAAGCCCTATGTTCCTCTAGGAACTAAAGGATACAATAATAATAATAATGGTTCAACTACAGGAGGGAGGGTGGCGCTAGCTGATCAGTAGATATGGTGATGGTCACCAAGGTGAATCACCCCATTCTGCAGGACCAGCAATATGCAATTTGAAGGCTCGAGATATTTCTGATTTTTATGAGGGCTTAGATCTTCATCTTGAAAAAGATAATAATGAACTCCTAGACAGATCATGCTTCTACCTTTAAATATATACCATTCACTCAGCTTATTGTTGAGATGCGACCACGCGGGATCTGCACAGATTTATAAGGCATCCTATAAATTAACTTGCTGTCCATTATCGGATCTGTGAATACCACTTCACAATGTCTTATCTCATTTATTTTATAATAACGTCTTTACTTGATCCTCATTATATTCCATTAAACCTAACATTTTATAGCTCTTTATGAATTTGATTTGACTTGTTCTATTCCTATTCTTTGTAGGGTACGGTTGTGCACCAAATAGGCAAAAAGAAATGAAATAAAAACAACTGGCTTGAAAATAACTGTATTAAAGCAAAAAGTGGACATCATGATAGTACGAAGTATATGGGTATTATTATACATTGCAAATGAACGTTGTCGACCTAAGGATTAATTACTTCCGCATTCTGTTTTCTATATAAATGTGTTTATTAAAGATATATTGCACTTACTTAATTTATTACACTTTAATGATTCACCTTAGCACTCTAACTTTTCTAAAACAGCTTCCAATCTCTTGTAAACGTTGTACTCACCTCAATATTGGTTGGTTATCGTATGCCTACAACCACGGGATGAAAACGAAACGAAGTCGATTTTCCCGCTCAACCTGGAGGACAACTGTACAATTCAATAACTATACGGCCTGGTTCAGACAAGGAGTGTGATTATATATATATATCAAATATTTAACTGTTGAAATATTATTAACTTGTAGACAATCTAAGATTTGACATTATACCATACTTGATCGTGCCCGTAAAAATGTCATACATTTTCATGTGAATTTATGTTTATATGAAAATAAAAATTATTATTATAAAGAAGTGACGAACCAACATGGACGAAGGCAGGAAATTAAGCAATGCCCAATTGCTTGTTAACTGTAATGATGCATGTGATGCTCAGGATGATGAGTCTGTTGTGCATGTTTCACAGTCTAGGGATTATGTGTGTGTGTAGA